ATTCTACTACAGAGAGTCTCCTTGGCAACCGTTCCTATGGAAACCCAGAACCAGTCCTGCATCACCAGGCAAGCTGGAAGGACCAGATGACGCATCCTAAGGCGGGCATCAGACAAGCCTATGACTGAAATAATTCGTGTTTGGATAGATAACTCCGGCACCAGCTTTCCAAGGTTTCTTCTAAAAGCCGAGCATGGATTATAACTAGCTTTCAGGAACCAGAGCTCAACCCAGATACTTATCTCTTGGCTTCCGGCTGTGTAACCCAATGCATGTTTCAAATTAGGGTCACAAACAAAACCGCCATGGTTGCTGTGGTTATGACCACCGCTTTTATTCTGTCTTCTTCCCAAATTGGGACGAACACATCACAAAGTAAAATGGAATTAAATTAAAGTAAAGGTAAAATCTAGTTGTGTCCGACTCTGGGGATGGTGCTCATCTCCATTTCTAAGCTGAAGAGCCGGCGTTGTCCATAGACACCTCCAAGGTTATGTGGGCAGCATGATTGCATGGAGTGCCGTTACCTTCCCACAGAAGCAGTACCTATTGATCTACTCACATTACCATGTTTTCAAACTGCAAGGTTGGCAGAAGCTGGACCTAACACTGGGAGCTCACTCCACTTTCTGGATTCAAACCGCCAATCTTTTGGCCAGCAAGTTCAGCACCTCAGTGGTTTAACCAGTTGTGCCACCAGAGGACCTAAATAGAATTAGAAATATACAAAATCTTGCAGCTTCCAGAGAGCACATTTAGTTTGCAAAAATCGTGTTTTGGTCAAAGACGAATAGTCCCGTCATAAAAATACATCGCAGGCTAAGCTCAAGTCTGTTTTTACAGATACATCAAGTGGCCCTTCTAAGTTCCCAATGATGAAAACTGACTTCTCTGTCCTTTTAAGTGTACAGACCTGCAAGTTGCATAGGTTCCCATTCCAATTGATCTAACATGAAATTTTGGAGAGAATTTTGCATCTCACCCTGAAATTTTACATCTTAAAAATCACTCAAAATAACCCCATGCCCCTCTATCAGATGTGGGCAACACTAGGCTCTAAACAGCATTATATGCAGTGGAGATCGAGCCAGAAACAGACAAATAAACTGATCTGGCCACCTTTCAAAAGATAAACTGATCTGGCCACCTTTCAAAAATAATTGGTTCCATTCACTAACCCAGGCATGGGCAAACCGGCCCTCCAGGTGTTTTGGACTTCAACTCCCACAATTCCTAACAGCCTCAGGCACTTTCCTTTTCTTCCTCAGCCATTTAAGCCCTTGCACTTTGTTACTCTGCTGCTGAATGGAAAATAAAAGTACAGGTGAAACTTTCCTGCACCCTGTAGCATATCTGTGAGATGGAATGATTTTTCCTAAAGGGCATCTGCTCAGGTGTTGTACTCCAGGCCAGGAAAAGCCCTCTGACTTTAAAACACCATAAAGCTGAGTAAGATGCAAGCAGTTTATTGAAGATAATAAAAAGAATTAACAGTAAAAACACTCCATAGAAATAGGTATATCCAAGTCGGTAGAAAGATAAGCAGGAACAAATAATCCGAGTTCATGAAAAACTAACACAGGAACTTCCAAGGTAAAACTCCAAACCTGAATCATGAAATCAAACAAGGCATAACTTGGATCTATCCAAGGCAAGGCTACAAGGTTCAGGACAAATGTCTTACTTCAATCCCAACATTGCTTCGTCTGGCTACAGATTCTGTACTTGGCACTTTTATCCCCTAATCTACTCTACATCCCAAGTGCCAGAAAAGGATTTCTTTTCAGCCTTGAATCTGTTATCAGTTTCTCTCTCAGTCTGGCAGAACGCCTGAAAATTTGATGTGTTTGTCTGTTCTGTTTGAAAACTTGCCTTCTATCTTCTGGCTCATTAACTTCTGCAGCTGGGCCAGGTGTCGAGCTTTTCTCAGGCTCAGAGTCCTGGGAATTCTCTGGTAATAATTCAGGCCCTCTCCCAGAAACCATACCATAATACCCAAATTCTTCAGGAACATTCTCATCAGCAAAAACACTTTGAAGAGGAATCCCATTGTCATTCTCTGCATCTAAAGCACCCTCATCATTAAAAACATCATTGCCATTCCCAACAACCAGAGTACCCTGATCATCAGACACAATCACAGGCTGAATTCCAACATCAGGTAAGCTTCCTCCTTCAGTCTGGCCAGCTGTAGATCTGCGATCCCTCCTTTGGGTGGCTGATAATGGAGATCTGCCCAGAGGGATTTGCATTTAGGGATAAAGGTAATAGGATTAGTCACAGGAGGCCTGTGGTTTGGATGATAACAGGAAACTGGGGCAAATAACTGGTTGAGAAATGAAAGGAGAGCTGTGTCTTTTACTGTAGCAGTTTAAGAGACAACACATGTATCATCATCCGAAGTGTAGCCAAACCAATTAAGCAGTCACTCTGTTGATTACAAGGCAACAGCAAAGAGCAAAATCAGAGGAAGCCAAAATGCATGACTGTGGCAATTTCGTTGCAACTGAGTGTTTAAATAATTGTTGTGACCATTTGCAAAACTTTGTTGATCATGCACATACTCCTCGGCAGACACCCTGCCTCCCAGGGAAAAGATCACAGTAAAAGGAAGATGAGGTTGCCTTCCTTTCCCTTTGGCTGCCTATAATAACTTTGAAAATAAGAGATCATCTTTCTTACCCTTCCTGTCCAATCTTCTTTTTGTTTCGTGCTTTAAATAGGAAACTTTAGGGCAGGGCTATTTTACATTCGAAAAATGCTCTGCAAATCTCCCCCCCACCCCCCACCCCCCACCCCCCAAAACGAACAGAAGCAAACATTATGACAGTGTGTTGTCGAAGGCTTTCGTGGTCGGAATCACTGGGTTGCTGTGAGTTTTCAGGGCTGTAGACCATGTTCCAGACAAAGGTTCTTTCTCACCCTGGACATTCCACTGATATATATATATATATATATATATACACACACACACACACACACACACACACACATACATACATACACACACACACGCGCACGCGCACGCGCACACACTTCACTTTCCTCATTTCCATTAGACCTCTGAACAGATCTCTGAGGATGCCTGCCAGAGATGCGGGCAAAATGTCAGGAGAGAATGCTACTGGAACATGGCCATACAGCCCGAAAAACTCACAGCAACCCAAGACAGATTCTGTAAGTTGAATTTGTAAGTTGGAACTGGTACATTTTTTCAGTATAACCCTACATATCTGTCTATCTATCTGTCTGTGTGTCTATCTATCGCATTATCACAGGGTGCCTGCACCCTACACCACTGGAGAAATTACACTGTTTAGCCAGTATTGCATCATCTGACATCTGCTGGGAAGTAGCAACCAATAGTGAAATGACCGAGGCAGTGACATCTCCAGCCCACCCCCTGTTTGGATATCAGCCAGCACATCAATGACTTAAATCAAGAAATAGTTTTCTAAGATCTACAGAGATACTCGCTGGAACACCTTAGCAAGCGAGAGTCCAAAAGTGGCAGGCTAAAACCCAGAACCTCAATCAATGGCTGGTACCAAATGAGAGACTCCCTCCTGGGCACACAGAAGACTGGGCTATTTGGAAGGCACTGAACAGATTGTTCTCTGGCACCATGAGATGCAGAGCCAACCTTCAGAAATGGGGCTACAAAGTGGAATCCTCGACATGCGAGTGTGGAGAAGAGCAAACCACAGACCATTTTCTACAATGCAACCTGAGCACTGCCACATGCACAAGGGAGGACCTTCTTATATCAACATGAAAGGCTCTCCAAGTGGCCAGCTACTGGCCAAAGGACATTTAATAAAATGCCAAGTTTGCAAAGTTTGTCTTTAAATATATATATATATATATACAATACAGTGTTTCCTCACTTATTGTGGGGGTTACGTTCCAGGACCTCCCGCAATAAGTGAAAAACCACAATGTAGGGACGCTATGTTTATTTTAATAGTTATACATTATTTTATTAGTTAGACACTACTGTAAGTCTTTATAAATTTATAATAAAGTGAAGGAAAGGAAGGAAAGACCCTTCAAGGCTGGAGGGAGGGAGAGAGGACTGAGGAGGGAAAGCACCTTGGAGAGCGGCAGCGGCAAAAACCTGCGAAACAGTGAAAATACCACGATATATATTTTAAATTAATATTTTTTGAAAACTACGAAAAAGCGAGTTTGCTAAAAGCAAACTGCAAAGTAGCGAGGGAACACTGTACAACTGTTCGGTTCACTCCTGACATGATAAATATCTATCTATCTATCTTTGGATAGCATAGGGAAGGATTATCACAACTCTTTCAGGAGTGGATTTCCCTTCCAAGGGGCAGATTTCTCTTATTTCCCATTGTTTCACCCTTGTTCTTAACTATGGGTCATTTGTAAATTGGATGTTTGTAACTCAGGGACTGCCTGTACTAACATTTTTATACCACTTTAGTTCCTGGATGTATTGTGTCTAGCACTTTTAGTCCACTCAGTGTTTGGTTTTTTTGCCATAAAATAAAGGTTTTCCCCTGACGTTAAGCCCAATCGTGTCTGACTCTGGGGGTTGGTGTTCATCTCCATTTCTAAGCTGAAGAGCCGGTGTTGTCCGTAGACACCTCCAAGGCCATGTGGCCGGCATGACTGCATGGAGCGCTGTTACCTTCCTGCTGTAGCGGTACCAATTCATCTACTCACATTTGCATGTTTTCAAACTGCTAGATTGCCAGAAGCTGGGGCTAACAGTGGGAGCTCACCTCACTCTCCGGATTGAGACCTGTGAACTTTCAGTCATCAAGTTCAGCAGCTCAGCAGTTTAATCCACTGCGCCACCGGGGACCCCTTATCTTTGCCATATTTTGGGTTTAATGTACAGGGAGGTGAGAGGACTCACCTCACCTCCTTCTCTGACTCGGGTAGCAAAAGTCTGGCCCTGGACTGGAGAGTGGCTGCACTTTTCCACAGGACACAGTTGTCAGATCCCGGGATTAAGACAACACATGACTGACCAGGGAGGTGATCCATTACAAGAGATTTGCTAAACCGGCCAATTGGTGTGCTTTGTTTTCTCAAGCCGTTTAGAAACCGGTGGCCAATCTGACGGCTACTTTCCACTGGCACTTTGGCACAGCTTTTAAGAAATGAGGCACACTCTTCTCTCCTGCTGTTCCAGTATTAAGAACACAGAGGCCAGTTCTTCAAAATGACCATCCGAAGAATGTACTCTTTTCCTGCCTTGAACCGACTTTGGGATTAAGAAAATCATGGCAGCGAATACTTTTAATCCAGATTAGGTTGAGCCAAATGTGGCAGGACACTGATGGCGAAGAGACAAGCATGAGAGCAAAGAAACAGGTGAGGAGAAGTTTCTATTCTGAAGTTACTTTCTTAGCCCAAAATATGTGAACCTGCTGTGTTTTTCTCCTGGTTGGGTTCATTCTAGGCTAAATATTATCACAGGTATCAGATGCCATGCTATCCTAAATATCTGTGGGTGGCATTTACTAATTTCAAAGGATTCTATGAATGGTGAATACAACGAAAGAACTTGATCCACGATGTAGTACTATGTTCTACTTTAATCACTTTCCTTGTGTTGCTGTGAATTTTTTGGGCTGTATGGCCATGTTCCAGTAGCATTCTCCCTGATGTTTTGCCTGTGGCAAGCATCTTCACTGGTTTGTTCAGAGGTCTGTTGGAAATGAGGCAAGTGGAGTGCGTGTGCGTGTGCATGTGTATGTGTGTGTGTATATATATATATATATATACACACACGCACACACGCACTCTATTCACACACACACACAAACCTGTGGAATAATGTCCAGGGTGGGAGAACGAACCCTTGTCTGTTTGAAGCAAGTGTGAATGTTGCAATTAGCAATCTTGATTAGCATTGAGAAGCCTTGCCGCAGCACAGTCAATCAGTGAGGGTATCAGCATAGAGGTAGCCTGGCTATTGTTTCCTAGAGGCATCCTTTCTTTGGGAGGTGTTTGCAGGCGAAATGTCAGGAGAGAATGCTACTGGAACAGAGCCATGATTCCAGCCATGAAAGCCTTTGACAACACACTTTCCTTGTTTTCCTCTTTAAGGAAATGAAAACCAAATTTGACAAAGTGTTGTCAAAGGTTTTCATGCCAAGAATCACTAGGCTGCGGTAAGTTTTCTTCGCTGTCTGGCCATGCTCCAGAAGCATTCTCTCCTGGTGTTTCTCCCACATTTATGGCAGACATCTTCAGAGGTTGTGAGGTCTGTTGGAAACTAGGCAAATGGGGTTTACATATCTGTGGAATAATGTCCAGGGTAGAAGAAATAACTCTTGTCTGCTTGAGGCAAGTGTGAATATTGCAAATGGCTACCTTGGTTAGCATTGAATGGCCTTGTAGCTTCAAAGCCTGGCTGGTTGCTGCCTGGGAGGATCCTTTGTTGGGAGGTGTTAGCATGCTTTAAGTTCTAGGCTTGGTATGGGGGGCATCCCAAAATGTTTTGCTGCTGAGAAATTGGTGCCTCTTCCATTCCATGCTCAAAAGGCAACTGATTCATTGTGGCATTCTTCCTGAATGCTTCCCCCACAGCAGTGAGAGAATATCATCTTTGTTGTACCTTTTTCCTCCCAGCATTCATTCTTTGCAGTGTCTTTGCTCTTGCCCCTCCAATGCATAGCTAGCTTCTCCTGCAAACCTAGCAGACTTAATGCTTTGAACGTGCCAACTATCATGCATGAATCACTAAGCCAGTTCCTGCTCACCAAATTGTATACAGTCCTTCCCTGAGAGCTGATTTTTCAAACTCGCATCTTGTATGTAAAGGCTAATCCTAGTTCAGGAGTCTGGGATCTTCGATTTTCCTGATATTTTGTATTTAATCTGCCAAAATCCATCACCACACTCTGTTATTTGCATTGTCTGGGGCTTCTTGTCTGGCCATATCCAGAAGCATTCTCTCCTGACGTTTCACCCACATCAGTGGCAGGCATCCTCAGAGGTTGTGAGGTCTGTTGGAAACTAGGCGAATGAGGTTTATATATCTATGGAATAATATCCAGGGTGAGAGAAAGAACTCTTGTCTGTTGGAGGCAAGTGTGAATGTTGCAATTGGCCACCTTGATTATTTATTTATTTATTTATTTATTTATTTATTTATTTATGACATTTATACACCGCCCTTCTCACCCTGAAGGGGACTCAGAGTGGCTTACAAGATATATACACACACACACACACACACAATATATATTATATTATTAGTATAGTGCAATATCAGTATTATATATATTACTATATTGTACTATACGATTATATTGTAATATTATTAGTAATATTACATGTAATATAAAATACATAATTATAATATCATATTATTAGAAGTATTATATTATATTACATTATAATATTATAAATATTATATGTATATACAATATATTATATTGCATTATATTATATTATATTGTATTATATTATATTATTAGCATAGCACAGGAGACAAAATGGAACTGTCCCCTGCCCCTCCCCCCTTTTCACTCTGGCCCAGAGCAGCAATTGGTACTGGGGGGAGGGGTCCCCAACTGATGACATATGCAGGATACAAGGTGGAACAAGATGAATAGCCTTGTAGCTTCAAAGTCTGGCCACTTCCTGCCTAGGGGAATCCTTTGATGGGAGGTGTTAGCTGGCCCTGATTGTTTCCTGTCTGGAGTTCCCCTGTTTTCTGAGTGTTGTTCTTTATTTACTGTCCTGATTGTGGAGTTTTCAAATACTGGTAGCCAGATGTTGTTTATTTTTACGGTTTCCTCCTTTCTGTTGAAATTGTCCACATGCTGGTGGGTTTCACTGGCTTCTCTGTGTAGTCTGACATGGTGGTTGTTAGAATGGTCCAGCATTTCTGTATTCTCAAATAATCTGCTGTGTCCAGGTTGGTTTATCAAGTGACTTCTCTGGTTGAGTTAGTCTGCAGTGCCTTTCATGTTCCTTGATTCGTATTTGGGAACTGCGGCTGCGTTTGGGGGTTCCTATGTAGACTTGTCCACATCTGCATGATCTATGGTAGACTCCTGCCAAGGTGAAAGGATGACTCCTGTCCTTTCTTGAACGTAGCATTTGTTGGGTTTTCTTAGTGGGTTTGTAGATAGTTTGTAGGCCGTGTCTTTCTATCAGCTTCCCTATGCAGTCAGTGGTTCCCTTGGTCTAGGGTAAGAACACTTTTCCTTTGGGTGGATCTTTGTCTTGACTTTTGTGGCTTGTTCTCGGTCTTACAGATACTGTTCCTGTTCAAGAGCATGCCACAAACTTCGGCTTCTCCATGGGGCCAAAATTACACATTTCACTTCAAGTTATTTTTAATCCCACAGGTCAACCAACATCAGTAAAAGAGGGAAACCACCATTCTGTTGTGTGGCAGAAAACCTCAGGATCCATGCTGCTTTGCTATTTTACTTCAAGCACACAAGAGAAGGCAAGGAACTCCACCTGCAATTAAACTTCAGTGGTTTACCGGAGTATGTTTCACCTCTTCACTTACTGCTGGTCTTGGCTGCAGGCGATCCAAGAGCCAATCAGGTAATGTCAGGAAAGTTTTATTTGTGCACATTTCAGCCCATGTTGACCTACGCTCCAGCCTTCCTTCGGTGTGAAATGCCAGGCTGCAAGGTCCTTTGGATAGGGGTCTGGTTACGTAAACATACAACAACAATCTCACCTTGAATCTTTTCCAACTTTGTATGACTCTCTCTAGATTCACTCAGATATTTATATCCTGCACCGTCTCTAAAGATCTGAGTGCAGTGTATAATAAAATCAGCCTTAAAGCATTTCAAATAATACACACACAAAAATGTTGCACTCCAGGATAGGATTCCCTCTGGGTTTAAACACAACACTGCTGAGTTAAAATAGCAAGCAGTTTATTGAAGATAATAAAAACAGTAGCAGTAAAAAGTAATCCACAGTAAAAAGGTAAACCCAATTAGGTAGGAAGGTCGATACAAACATATAATCCAGGGGAATAGTCCAAAAAGAGTCCAGGAAAATAGAGACTGGAACTTCCAAGGTATTATTTATTTATTTATTTATTTATTTACAGCATTTATATTCCACCCTTCTCACCCCGCAGGGGACTCAGGGCGGATTACAGTGTACACATATATGGCAAACATTCAATGCCAATTTTTGACATACAAACATATACAGACATAGACATGGGCTATTTAACTTTTTCTGGCCGCCAGGGGAGCTGTCGCTTTCATCGTCCATCTGCGACACTGATGAAGCACTTCCGCATTCCCCACATGCTTCCCCGCTAGAATGTTTTGCTGGAGTCTTCTTTATGGCCTCATAAATCAGTTAATTTAGCCTCCCCACACTTTAAGGTGGTACCTTATTTTCCTACTTGACAGATGCAACTGTCTTTCGGGTTGCAAAGGTCGACAACAGGCTACATACAATCGGTTGGAAACCCACTCCAACCCAGGCTGGCTTCGAACTCATGACCTTTTTGGTCAGAGTAATCTTAATGCAGCTGACACTCAGCCAGCTGTGCCACAATCCAGGTGCCAAAACACTTGAGTATGAATCAGGTATGTAGCCGGGGGGGGGGGGAGCTTGAGGGACTTCAGCTCCCCCCCCCACCCCCCACCCCCAAAATTCTCAGAATGGTCCACGAGAAGGCCTTACTGGTACATTATTTAAACTGTTATGTTTAATCATATCATGATCTGATCACCATGCACAATATATCCCATATGCATGGGGGTATTGGGATAACGATACAAAAGGTTTGCTAGGGTAGATCCTCAGCCCCCCCCCTCCCCCGAATCAAACTCGGCACCCCCCAAATTAAAATCCTGGCTACGGGCCTGGCATGAATCAATCAAGGCATTTAAACATGAATAACGAGGCACTTAAACATGAATCAATACAAGGCAAAATGTCCAGGAACTTGGGAAGGGAACTTGACCTAAATCCAACGATGCTTCGTCTGGCGACAGATTCTGTACTTGGCACTTTTATCTCTACTATCTCTACTGTATTTCCCAAGCAGCCAAGAAAGGATTTTTTTTTCTCAGCCTTGCGTTCCCTGCTAGCCTCTGTTGCAATCTGGCAGAGTGCCTGAGAGCCTGATTTGTTTGTCTTTGCTGACTAAAACACTTCTTCTGTTCAAGGGCTCATTAACTTCTGCACCTGGACCAGGCCTCAAGCGTTTACAGGCTCAAGGCTTTGAGAATCCTCTTGTACCAATACAGACCCAGGGAACAAACCATCTTTGTTGGAGCTCAGCCTGTGATTGTGTTTCAGGATCAGGGTGCTTTGGATATGGGGAGTGATGTCAATGAGATTGAAGATGGCAATGGTTTGACCAGTGATATTGATGCAGAGAATGACCAGGAGATCCCTGTGCAAAGTGTAGTTTCCCATGAGAATGTCCCTGATGGGTGTGGAGATGATGGTGTGCTTTCTGAATTGTTACCAGAGAGTTCCCAGGATAGGGAACATGAAAACAGCTCAGCACCTGGGCCAGCTGCAGAAATTAATGAGTAAATAGTAGGCTTGGGCGGTTTTGTTCGTTAATTTCGTAATTCGTTATTAATTCGTATTTAAATTAGCTTACGATCCAATATTGAGCCATGCAGGAATAGTGTGAGGAGTAAATTAGATTCGAAACAATTTTTTCAATTTATTTTGTAATTATTTCGTAATTATTTCGTAATTATTTTCGCATGTCTGGTGCAAGTTTTATAGTTGTTGTTTGTTTTATCACACCAACAGTCAACAACAGAGGGAGAGGGAAGCTTCAGAAGTTCCCCCTGTCCCATTTGGAGGTTTTTTAGCATATTGCGCAATCGCGTCCGCCATTAACAAATCGATTCGTAATTATACGAAATTTCGTAAATTTCAAAATTTTTAAAAGGAAAATTTCGGAATTCTTTAAAAAAAGAAACACGATGGACCCCTAAAAACACAACGAGTTTAGAAACAAATTTTTTCGTTGTTACCCAAGCCTAGTAAATAGATAGAAGGGAGGAGATCAGTCAAAACGGGAAAGCCGAACAGTGGCTTCAGCGGCCTGTCAGGCTCCGAGAGGAAAAGATAAGAAATTCTCAGCTAAAGCGAAACCAATTTCTGAGTGCTAGAGACATAGCTAATGAGAAGATAAAAGTCCCAAGTACAGGATATGTAGTCAGATGAAGCATCGTTTGGAATCAAGTCAAGATCTCGTCCTTGTTCATTGAAACTTTTCTTGGGAAATTCATGTTTTAAGTCCCTTTGTTTCATGGTTTTGATCTATGCTTTTATTCATGCCTTGGATTCCTGTTTCCTGATATTTGGGAAGTTTTGGCTTTGTTTTTATGGACTTTGCTGGGCTATTACCCCGGACTACTTTGTTCCTGCTTATCTTCCTACCTAATTGGATTTATTTGTTTACCTATTTCTTTAAAGTGCTTTTTTAACCTTCTTGCTTTTTAATTGTCTTCAATAAAAGGATTGTTTTCCATCCAACGGTGTGGTGTTTAAAGTCAGAGGGCTTTCCCTGTCCTGGAGTGCAACAATCATCCCCATTCCCATCAGAAGAATCACTTTTAATATGAACCACATTGTCATTCCCTGCCTCCACAGCAACCTGATCATTATATACATTAACCTCATTGTCACTCCCATCATCCAGAGTACCCTGATCATTAGACATAATAATAGGCTGAACAGGCTGACATACCACAAATTATTAGAGAATCTAAAGTAAATAATGTCACCAGTTGAATGGTGTTGTGCATCGCAAAGGTTGCTAAGACTGGTTGCCCAGTAATCGCCTCCCTTCCTCCCTTCACTGTCCTCCCATGTATATTTTGCCCTTTCAGATGGACTGGTAGCCCATGAAAAGCCTCACCATGGCAACCCCAAAGGCAAAACCTATTTACGCCTCATGCCTTTGAATGGAGAGAGATTCAATTGGCGGAGATGCTCAGCGATGGGGAAAGAATGACCCAGTCTGTTGTCTCGCTGATACTCTTCTCCCCCATAATATTGTCCAAAACATTGGAAGAAGATCCCAAAGCCCAATGGTACAATGTATGTTTCCCATATTTTGATGAAATAAATAATGTACTTAGGATTTTTTGTGCCTTTGTTTGCTTAACTGCCCCCAACAAAAGGCATATTCAGCAGAAATGGGGCCAAGAGATGGAGAGTCTAGCCTAAAATCACACGATACAAAAAAAAAAAGGCTTTTAACTCACCCCTTTTGTGAAACAAAAATCCAAACTCCTTACTTTGCTTCCCAGGGAAATATATTTGATAACAATGTTAAATTTCCTCTCTTCTTTCCTGCCAGGAAAGTGACCATCCTTGTCCTTGGTTTAGACGGAGCCGGGAAAAGTTCCCTTGTAAAAGAAATTCAACGAGGTGAGTTAGAATCATAGAATCCTAGATTTGGAAGAGATCTGGTGGGCCATCTAGCCCAACCCCATTCTGCCAAGAAACAGAAAAATTGCATTCAAAGCACTCCTGACAGATGGCCATCCAGCCTCTGCTTAAAAGAGCCTTCACCACACTCCGGGGCAGAGAGTTCCACTGCTGAACAGCTCTCACAGTAAGGAAGTTTTTCCTCATGTTCAGGAGGAATCTCCTTTCTTTCCTGTCATTCGAAGCCATTGATCTGCATCCTAGTCTCCAGGACAGCAGAAAACAAGCTTGCTCCCTCTTTCCTATGACTTCCCCTCACATGTTAATACATGGTCCTCATCATGTCAGCCAGCAGAACTGAAGACCAACAGGTCGTAGGTTCAAATCCGGGGAGAGTGTGGATGAGCTCCCTCTGTCAGCTCCAGCTCCCCATTCAGGGACATGAGAGAAGCCCCCCATAAGGATGATAAAATATCAATACCAGGCATCCCCTGGGCAACGTCCTTGCAGACAGCCAATTCTCTCACACCAGAAGCAACTTGTGGTTTCTCAAGTCACTTCTGACGGGTTGCAGTGATCTCTGGAAGTTAGTGAAGGTAATTAGTGGGGTCTGTGTGCCAACTTTGGTCCAGACTTGTCATGGTGGGGACCACAGTGGTCTGTGAGAGCTGAAGTGATTGGAAGTACTGCAAATCCCATAATCCGTGGTCCATCCTCCCCCAAACCGCACCAGGACATAAAGGGGGTGTATGTGTTCCAAATTTGGCTCAGGTCCGTCATTTGTGCAGGTTGCAGTAGCCTGTGGAAGTGGGAACCAATCAGAAACCTGCCACATACCCACATACATACCCACATACATACAAACATTGACTTTTATTATATAGATATAGATTTGATTTATTATATGATGTATTACTTATTTCACCTAGACTCAGAGGTTTCTCGTGATGTTCACACAACACTGGTGATTTTTCAGAACTGTTTGGATTACATAACTTTATTTTTATACCTCACCTCCATCTCCCCAAAGGGACTCAGAATGGCTTACATGGGGATGAGCCCGGAGAAACATAGATTGAAACATTATGCAATAAAATAAAAACAAAGATAAAATAAACACATCAAAATAACACAATACAACATCCTAAAAACACTTCATAGCCTGAACAGTAATAAATACTGAACTCGGAGGGCTAGGAGCTTGTGCAATACTTTCAGGACAGGGGATAGCACCAGTAATAGTTAGGGCTGGAAGGGTAATGTCATTTGGCATTTGAATGCCAGGTCTATAGGGCAGGGGGCAGTGATAAAGTGCAGGAGCTGTTATTGAGAGGGCAATAATCATGAAACTAGAAAAATCAAAGTTAAAAATGTACCCCCTCTGTATTTAGAAATGAGGTTCCTCTAAGGGACCGTCTTGTCTGGAACTTTTGTGGTTAGCACCTAAGAAACATGTGCAATCAACAACTTTCACAGTACAGTTCAGGCAGAAGACTAAAAAGCTGACAAAGTGTCTATTGCCACATATTGGGAGAAAGGGCTATTGGGGTCTTGTACTTTCCATTGTCAAGAAATCATATAATTTACAAGAAGTCAGTTAGTCAATGTGCTAAATAAGGAATTAAGCCTAAGTGGCAACTTGTAATTGGATAACTTCTTCTGCAGTATTGTGAGTCTTGTCTATATAAATGTGAGTTTGAGAGACACTGGGGGTGGCAACCTCTTGAAAGTACCAAGACCTGCGTGTTTGGTATGGCTGGCCGTCTCTTCATGATCATGATGAAATAAACCTGGCTTTTGATCTACTCCTGAGTCTGGGAGTTCGTCTGTTTGCCTCCTGCGACCGGGTTTTCAGTTGGGGTCTATTTTGGGGGTTCCTAACATTGGTAAATTACCATTAGGAGCCAATTATCTGGTGAAGTGTTTAATCATAGGCACATGTGTATTAGATACCATTGCAAACTGTTTATGGGGACTGGCTGTAGAGTGCAAGAAGGAAAGGGAAAACATGCCGGAGATGAATTCAGTCTGCCATCTACACCATGAGACTTGGCAACAACAAAAGACCTTTTCTATTTCTGCACCGTCCCTTAGTCATTTTGTATGAGTCCATTGAAGATTTACAGACAGCCTGAAACACTGCATCCTTTATTGTGCTTTGATCAGTTGGAATAAGACTGCAAGCAGTATTAATTAAAGGGGGAAATTACCATCATGTGGAAATCTCTCCAGGTAGCTTGTTGAGAGCCCTGGTTCAGGTTGTATTGTTTGTTTCCTTGGCCTTCCTTGTGTTCTGCAGTTCTCTCCTGCGAGGTGCTCCCCGCCACAAAGCCCAACCACACAGAGCTTAGAGTGGACCGGTTCGAAGTCTCCCTCATTGACTTGGCTGGAGGACAAAAGTCCTGGAAGGACTACTACGGCTCGGCTCATGGGATCATCTTTGTCCTCGACTCAGGTGACGCGGCTCGAATGGAGGAGGCGAAGAAGACCCTCTCCCGGGTTCTGGGGCACTCAAAGGTTTCAGGAAAGCCTCTGTTACTGTAAGCATCTCATCCTTCTGGCCTCTTCGATTTTTGTATATTGGGTTGCTGTGATTTCTTTTGGGTTGTATGCCCATGTTCCAGTAGCATTCTCTCCTGATGTTTCACCTGCATCTGTGGCTGGCAACTTCAGAAGTCTGTTGGATGCAAAGCAAGTGGAGTGTATATATATGCTACCTGTGGAGTGTCCAGGATGGGAGAAAGCAGCCTTGTCTGTGTAAAGCAATTGTGAATGTTGCAGTTAGCAAGCCTGATTAGCCATGAAGCTGCAAAGTCAACCAGTGAGGGTATCTGCATAGTCTCACAACCATCATGTCAGGCTACTCAAAAAAGCCATGGAAATCCATAAGTACATGAACAATTTCAACAAAAAGGAGGAAACCATGAAAATGAACAAAATCTGGTCACCAGTATTTAAAAACACCAGAATTAAGACAGTAAATAAGGAACACCACTCAAAAACAGGAGAACTCCAAACAGTAAGCAATCAAATTGCTAGTTACCACCTTCCAAACATTGAATGCCTTCAGGCAACATTGGCCAGGATACCTCTATGCAGATACTCTCACTGATTGACTTTGCAGCTTCATGGCTACTCAATGCTATTCAAGCTTGCTAGTTGCAACATTCACACTTGCTTTACACAGATAAAGGTTCTTTCTCCCACCCTGGACATTATTCCACAGGTATATGTATGCCCCACTTGCCTAGATGTAGGCGAAATGTCAGGAGAGAATTCTGCTGGAAGATGGCCATACAGCCCAGAAAACACACAGCAACCCAGTGATTCTGGCCTTCAAAGCCTTCGACTACACATTGAACATCTTGTAAATTGTTCTTTTGTTTGTCATCGAACCTATAAAGATAGTTTATAGGGGGCATAAGTTTCTTGCAGTTAGTTTTTGCAACAACGGAGAGATAACAAAGGCTGGATCTGCACTGCCATATAATGCAGGTTGAACTACCGACTGTTAGGAATTGTCGGAATTGAAGTCTAAAACACCTGGAGGGCCAAAGTTTGCCCATATCTGGTGTAAACTCATATCATGCAATTCAGTGCAGTTCAGACTGCATCATATGGCAGTGTAAATCCAGCCCTAGTCAGAAAAGGCACAGCTCACCACAGGGAAAGGCAGTTACTTTGGATATTCCATAACATCTCACATATATGCTCGTATGGTGTGATTTTAAGATCAAATTATTACCCCTTCTTGTCCTCTCTGCCTAACTTTTGTAACATCTTTTCCTGATAGAGGGACTTAGAGATCTTCAAAGCTGGCACGGGTTTTGTGTCTTGTTGACTGGCATCACAACCAAAATATATTGTCACAACATGATTTTTAGCATTCTTGTTAGGGCCAGTATGACTATCCTTGTTTTGCGTAGTTTGACATTTGTTCCGTCTTCCAGGAGCATAGTTTGAATTATCTTGTAGTTGCATGGGATAGTGTTCCTTTGCATTTCCCCAGGGTTACTACAGACCCAGCAGCACCCTGGAAGTTAAACAGTATCAGAGTCTGGAAAGCCAGGCTGCAGGCCCTCTGCAGTTATTGGTTTAGAAAGTATCTCTTTGGGTTTGGAGACCGCCTTTTCCCCCGGGGTTGAGATCTCCATTTTAGAATCTCCCCTTCCTCTTTCAGTAGAGAAAGAAAGCTTCAGATGTGCTGTTGGTTAGGCAGGTAGCTCTGAAAAAACCATTGAAAGTACTATTGAGTCTTGATTGAGTTATATAGATAAAGAAGCTAATTGAGATAGATAGATAGATAGATAGATAGATAGATAGATAGATAGATAGATAGAATAGCAATTGAGTGATTGAGTCATATTGGGTCTAATTGAGTATAGCTAGATATTGAGTTATTGAATATTATTGAGCATTACTTCCTCTCCAAAGCTAACCTTGAGCTATAGATAGGGAAAAAACCTGTTTTTTCTAACCATAGCAGTTCAGGGTTAGGGTGAAAGGATCCCAGGATTTTTTTCTACCATTTGGGGAAAGGTTACCTCAGTAACTGAAGGAAAGGAAAGAAAGATAATCTCTGTGGTTTCACCAATTGACTGTTTTGTTTGTAACTTTGACAAGCTGTGCCAAGTCTGCAAGGACTTTGAGAAATAAATATTCTGTTTTGGTGCTCAAAACCTGTAATAGCCTCAGTTGCTGGGAATTTCAAGCTTCTAAAGAAAGACCCCCGCGGTCCGCCCAGACAAAGAGAGAAACACATCTTAGTTTTATTTTTATAGGGTCTGGGTGTGACGGCACAATATCGATAATGACAACAGTGAGCATTCATTCTTTGAGTCCCCCCAGGGATGAGAAAGGCAGTATATAAATACTGTAAATAAATAAATAAATAAATTCTCTTTGAGCATGAAGTTTGAGTGTGCTGTGTTCTCCTTTCTCCATGGACGGTCCAAGCCTAGCAAACAAACAGGACAAAGCGGATGCCCTCTTGCCCTGTGAGATCATTGAGTGCCTGTCTCTGGAGAAGCTGGCAAACGAAAACAAGTCGCTGTGTCGGATCGTAAGTGTGAAATTAGACTTTCGTTCACTTTGGCAACACTGGAAATGCCTTTATATTTAGAGTGAATCAGTTGCATCAAGAGGCAGATGATGGTAGGCAGCAACAGCAGGTCCCTAGTTGTGGTTTGTGGATATAAAAAGAACTCTTGTCTCTTTTGTAAAAAGCAAAATAGAACATGTTGCTACTCCCCAAAGCTCTCAGTTTCAAGAATAACATTTCTACTGAAATGAAGACGCACTAGGAATTGTCAGTTTATTCCAAAATTCCTGGGAATTCCATTGCTGCTTTAGATATTCATTTTTGAAGTGCAGATGTCGATTGTGACCGTCTTTATCACCGTACTCCTAAGAACTCCAAAAACACAAGCAGTCCATTCTTTATAACCATACTTTCCAGTCTGCAGCTTTGTCAGATGTGAAAGCAATGAGACGTAGGCCCCATCTACACTGCCATTATAACACAGATTGAACTAAATTATAAAGTCAGTGTAGACTGATACAATCCAACACCTGGTGGTGCAGTGGGTTAAACTGCTGAGCTGCTGAACTTGCTGACCAAAAGGTTGGTGGTTCGAATCTGGGGAGCAGGGTGAGTTCTTGCTTTTAGCCCCTGCTTCTGCCAACCTAGCAGTTCGAAAACATGCAAATGTGAGTAGATCAATAAGAATCGCTTCTGCAGGAAGGTAACAGTGCTCCATGCAGTCATGCTGGCCACAAGATCTTGGAGGTGTCTATGGACAATGCCCAATTGAGATGAGCACCACCACCCAGAGTTGGCCTTGGCTATTTATTATTTATTTTGGGTACTTTTACCCCGCCCTTCTCAACCCCCGAGGGGGGACTCAGGGCGGCTTACAAAAGGCACAATTCGATGCCTATACAAAAATTACACATAGTGTACAAAACCATAGTTAAAACAATTATCACAGTTAAAATAATCAAAACAATCAATATACATCACATCATATAAAAACTATTCACATACTCAGCGTTCGTCTTTCAGAGTTCCAAATTCCATTCCGTTAGTCATTTCCTGGCCATTCTCAAAGTCCTTTCTTTATCTGCACGATTGTCCAAATGCCTGGTCCCAAATCCATGTTTTCAGTTTTTTCCTGAAGGAAAGGAGTGATGTCACTGATCTAATTTCCCTGGGGAGCGAATTCCACAGGTGGGGGGCCACCACCGAGAAGGCCCTGCTCCTTGTCCCCGCCAACCTCACTTGTGATAGAGGCGGGGTCGAGAGCAGGGCCTCCCCAGAAGATTAGACTCCGGGGTGGGACGTAGACTTAATGTCAGGGGAAATCTTTGCCTGTACTTTTACACTCATCATATAGTGCAGTTAAATCTGCATTATTATAATTTGTTGATCCTAATCTAACTCTTAGATCAACAGCAGGAGTATGGTTTGGTGTTTGATGGATTATTCTTCAAGTCCTGACGTAAGCCTTCTTAACCTAAGACTCTCTCTTTCTTCAGAAGGTGATTCCACCTTCTTTCCCTTGGATAGTTCCATCTTTTCACACTTGTCTCTTTCTCCTTCTCCACTCAGGAGCCCTGCTCAGCGATCAAAAGGCTTCCCAAAATCCAGTGTTGGACCATTGTGCAAGGGCTTCACTGGCTCTTGCAAAACATTGCCTTGCACTATGGGGCCCTCTGTGGCCGCATCCAAGAAGACAATCCTCAGCAACAAGCCTCAGCAGAACAGGAGGGGTCCCGGAAGACACACAGGACGCGGAACAGGACACAAGAAGCCAGGTCCACCCTTCTTCTTCCTAGTAGACTATATGGACAATTGAAGGAGTAGAGCAGCCTAGGTTGTCTTTGGGTGGTCAGCATGTTGATAGGATTAGGAACATCTGCTTGGGTTTGAGGTGGAACTAAGCAGAGACAGAAGTGATCATTCCACAATGTTTTATCGTTCCATTGCAACTGCAATATGCCTTGCAATTACTTCCGTTCAGTAGTTCAGCTAGTACTTACTTACTTACTTACTTACTTAGGCAATTCCCTGTTGTCCGAGTAGGATAGTCTTCCAAGATCGGTGTACTGGCTGTGGGTCCGTAGGTGACTGTGGAGCCCTATTCTTGACCCGCATGTTCTCCCACAGTGAGGGCATCATTTTCCAGGTGGAAGGCGACCTCGGTCAAGGTTGGCTTGGTGCGCCTTCCTCTTGGCCCTCCATTCATGCCTCTTCAAATTCTACAGCACTGCTGGTCACAGCTGACTTCCAGCTGGAGCACTCAAGGGCCAGGGCTTCCCAATTCTTGGTGTTTATGCCAGAGTTTTTAAGGCTGGCTCTGAGCACATCTTTAAATATCTTTCCTGCACAACAACATTTTGTTTTCCGTTCTTGAGTTTGGAGTAGAGCAACTGATTTGGGAGACGGTGGTCGGGCATCCAGACAACATGGCCAGTCCAGCGGAGTTGATGGCGGAGGACCATCGCTTCAGTGCTGGTGGTCTTTGCTTCTTCCATCATGCTGACATTTGTCCGCTTGTCTTCCTAAGAGATTTGCAGGCTTTTTCAGAGGCAACACTGATGGAATTGTTCCAGGAGCTGCGTATGACAACTGTAGACAGTCCACGTTTTGCATGTGTATAGCAGGGTTGGGAGGACAATAGCTTTATAAACAAGCACCTTGGTCTCCATACGGATGTCCCGGTCCTCAAGCATTCTCTGCTTCATTCGGGGGGAAAGCTGCACTCGCAGAGCTCTGGCGGTGTTGTTTTTCAGTGTCAATGTTGCTAGTAAGGCTGCGGTTATATGGATTCAATTCTTGATTTGTAGATTTGGTAAGGCATAGTAGATCATTGCCTTGGGAGCTGTGGGAAATCCATAGTCAAGTCCTTCTTGGGGCTGGATCTGCCCTATAAGGCAGTCTCAGAGTGTGGGTTAACTGTACTGGTGTAGATTATATCAGTCTACACCAGGCATAGGCAAACTTTGGCCCTCCAGGTGTTTTGGACTTCAACTCCCACAATTCCTAACAGCCTACCGGCTGTTAGGAATTGTGGGAGTTGAAGTCCAAAACACCTGGAGGGCCAAAGTTTGCCCATGCCTGTTCTACACTGCCCTATAATTCAGATCAATGCAGGCAATCCACATTCTGAAACTAGATTATAAGGCAGTGTAGATCCAGCCTGAGTCAGGCTCCCTTTCGTCCAGCCTCAGCTACTCATTGGGTTGTTATAAAAACAGACTTGGAGGAGACAAGCCTGGAAGAACGATGGCGTGCAAGTGTAATAAATCAGTTTAAATCAATACAGTTATGTTGGCTTTAGAGCCCTTCCACACACAGCCATATAACCCAGAATATCAAAGCAGAAAATCCACAATATCTGCTTTGAACTGGGTTATCAGAGTCCACACTGGCGTATAATCCAGTTCAACGTATATTTTATACAGCTGTGTCAAAGAGGCTTTCCTATCAGGCCCTATATCCCAGGTTTCCTGCTTTAAACTGGATTATATGAGTCCTCACTGCCAGATAATCTGGGATAAACAGAAAACCTGGGATCAGATCCTGGGATATAGAGCCTGTGTGGAAGAGCCCTAGGTCACACTCTTGTGAAACAAATTATCCCCATTTTCCAGAATGATACAAAAGAACTGCTTATTGTTTAATTTGTTAACAAGGTTGGATTTACAGACCAAATTCTTCATTGTTGACATCTATCATTCTATTTGATAGGTTTCTTTTCATCACTCTCCAGGCAGTTTGTAGGACAGCAAAGCTGTCCTTCCTGCCATTGTTCAATTATTAAATTTTTGCAAGAATATCTAGTATTTTTGGCATATTTGCATTTTTGGCTCAATCTGTCTCTCTCTCTCTCTTTCCCTATCCAGGGAGTCACGTCCCAGAAAAGAGAGCAAACAGGAAGGAAATCCCAAGACGCTGGAAGGCAAACCCACAGAACCGATGCCAGATGTGTGTTCACAGGTAACCAGCAATGCTCATATATTATATACACATTTGCAGAAAGTATGGTCACATTTTAGAAATGTGCTGTTTCATTCAGTAGAGTATTTCCTCCACAATGGGGCAGTGTCTTCCCGAAAACTAGCGTAAAAAGGCCTCAGAGTTTAGCTCCGGGCTCTTTCATCCATCAATCGCTGCCACCTCCCAATATCTTCCACCTGAGGCAAGTGCTTCTTTTTGCCCAATGGCAGAACTGCCCTCTACACAACCCTTGGAAGCATGAGAAATTCAGAGCATTAACTGGGTTGCTGTGAGTTTTGTGGGCTGTCTGACCATGTTCTAGAAGCATTCTCTCCTGATGTTTCACCCACATCTATGGCAGGCATCCTCAGAGGTTGTGAGATCTGTTGGAAACTAGGCAAGTGAGGTTTGTATATCTGTGGAATGTCCAGGGTGGGAGAAAGAACTCTTGTCTGTTGGAGGCAAGTGTGAATGTTGCAGCTAACACCTCCCAACAAAGGATTCCCCCCAGGCAGGAATCAACCAGGCCTTGAAGCTGCAAGGATTTGCAATGCTAATCAAGGTGATTAATTGCAATATTCACACTTTCCTCCAACAGACAAAAGTTCTTTCTCCCACCTTTATTGCACAGGTATATAATCCCAACTTGCCTAGTTTCCAACACAACTCACACCTTCTGTGGATGCCTGCCATAGATGTGGGTGAAACGTCAGGAGAGAATGCTTCTAGAACATGGAAATACAGCCCGGAAGGATTCTCCACAGGCAGGAATCCCAACAAAAGATTCCCCGAGGCAGGAAACAGCCAGGCTATGAAGCTGCAAGGCCATTCAGTGCTAATCAAGGTGGCCAAGTGCAACATTCACACGTGCCTCAAACAGACAAGAGTAATGTCCAGGGCAGGAGACATATCTTGCCAATCGAAAGGTTGACAGTTCGAAGCCTGGGGTCAGGGTGAGTGTACGATCTTTTGGCCCAGCTTCTGCCCACTTAGATCTAAAACAGAAAGGTGAGTAGATAAATAGGTATCGCTTTAGTAGGGAGGTATTTAAAAGGCACCCATAAGGAAATACCAGAAATGCTGGTGATTCCATCAAAGGAGGAACTTTGCAAACAGGGCTCTTCGGCATGGAAGATGGAGCGACAGCACCCCCTGTGGCCAGAATAGAGCACAACTTCCAAGATGCCGAAGATGGGAAAGCGTATATACAGTTGTCTGTCTTGTCAGTATAATGGCATTGAATGTTTGCTATATATGTATGTTCTGTGATGCACTCTGAGTCCCCTTTGGGGTGAGAAAAGCAGAATATAAATACTGTAAATAAACAAACAAATGAACCAAAAGTTTGCAAAGGGCTCCAAACCAAACTGGTACCAATGAAAGGCTCTATGGGGAGGAAAAAACATGGAGATGTTTAGGGAAACGTTGCAAGTTGAGCAGTAAAAATAATTTCCGATCGAATCTTTTAGTTGCTTTGAATATCAGATTTGATTACATCAACAATGCAATCTTATACATCTATGCACATAAGCAAACTCCTTGGAGTTCAGTAGCACCGAATTAAGTGCATATAGGATTACAGCCTAAGTGTACTTGATTGCTTTTCCTCTTCCTTTCCTACTCAAATATTTCAGTTCAATCACCTGATATATATTCGTATAACCCATAAAATTAAAATAGATCACTTTTCAAAAATATATTAAATACGATCTCTATTGATTTAAGATGGTGGACAGTTTGGGTACATTTTCGAATTCAGCAGTTTCTGGGAAATCAACACAACTTCCAATTTGACCCCGTATCTATTTTGAGTAGTAAGGATATCAATTGTCAGATTCCATCCTGGCTTTGCTGCCGTCCTCATACATGCACGCAAACACACATAAATATATACACACACATATACACATATATACACACACGAAACACATATACACAGACTGGGCCACAGCAATGCATGGCAGGGCACGGCTAGTATATAATGTTAGCCTTCCACAACATCTCTTGAGTTGATCATCTAACAGCCCTAGCAAATACAGCTGAGGTTTACACTCAGATTTAACTGTGGGCATGTTGAGGCTGGTGTTTGATGAGCAGGCAGGGGAACATTTTGGCTGCAAATTTATATATCGTGTCAGTATCAACCAGACAATTGTATTACATTTTTAACATATTTTTAACAAACAGACAAAACACAAAGTTTGCAAGCTTGGTAGTTGATTAAATGTCCTTTGACCAATAGCTGGCCACTTGGGGTGTCTCTGGTGTTGCCACAAGAAGGTCCTCCATGGTGCATGTAGCAGGGCTCAGGTTGCATTGCAGCAGGTGGTCAGTGGTTTGCTCTTCTCCACACTCGCATGTCAAGGATTCCACTTTGTGGCCCCATTTCTTAAGGTTGGCTCTGCATCTCGTGGTGCCAGAGCGCAGTCTGTTCAGCCCCTTCCAAGTTGCCCAGTCTTCTGTGTGCCCTGGAGGGAGTCTCTCATTTGGTATCAGCCATTGTTTGAGGTGTTGGGTTTGAGCCTGCCACTTTTGGACTCTCGCTTGCTGAGATGTTCCAGCGAGTGTCTCTGTAGATCTTAGAAAACTATTTCTTGATTTAAGTCGTTGACGTGCTGGCTGATACCCAAACAAGGGATGAGCTGGAGATGTCTCTGCCTTGGTCCTTTCACTATTGGCTGCTACTTCCCGGCGGATGTCAGGTGGTGCAATACCGGCTAAGCAGTGTAATTTCTCCAGTGGTGTAGGGCGCAGACACCCTGTGATAATGCGGCATGTCTCATTAAGAGCCACATCTACTGTTTTAGTGTGGTGCGATGTGTTCCACACTGGGCATGCATACTCAGCAGCAGAGTAGCATAGCGCAAGGGCAGATGTCTTCACTGTGTCTGGTTGTGATCCCCAGGTTGTGCCAGTCAGCTTTCGTATAATATGGCACCCACATTTTGCTTGATGTTCAGGCAGTGCTTCTTGTAGGTAAGAGCATGGTCCAGAGTGACTCCCAGGTATTTGGGTGCGCTGCAATGCTCCAGTGGGATTCCTTCCCAGGTGATCTTCAGAGCTCGGGATGCTTGTCTGTTCTTGAGATGAAAAGCACATGTCTGCGTTTTAGATGGATTAGGGATCAGCTGGTTTTCCCTGTAATAGGCAGTAAGAGCACCTAGAGCTTCAGAGAGCTTCTGTTCAACCATCTCAGAGCTCCCTGCTTGAGCAGTAATGGCACGATCATCAGCATAGATGAAGCTCTCTGTCCTTTCTGGCAGTGGCTGTGGCAGTGGCTGCAAATGCCCAAACTAAATACAATCATAGAGAGAGTTTTCATCCATGTGTCTCTTTAGGGGGCTGCACAAAAGGAGGAAAGAGCAACGGCATCCAGGAAGCGGAAAGGGAGACTCAAGCAGAAGGTGAAGAAGAAGAGCTCCTTGCAATCGGAGAGCACCATTGTGGCTGAAGACGAAGGGGGCAAAGCGGCCACAGGGAAGAGCGGCACAGGAGCCACCCCTGGCCTCCTCCACAGCAACAAGGTGGCCCAAGGGAAGCCCAGGGCTCTGGAAACACCTCCACCCCCAGCAGGTGAACACACACCTCTTACAACAACAGCAATATACAAACATTCCAGAGTTACAAACATCCAACTTACAAATGATTCACAGTTCAGAACACAGCGGAAGAGACTTAAAATGCCAAAAAATTAAACATACATTATAATGCATGCACATAACCACATAAATACACAGATACACAAATATATACACACATTTACACAAATACACACACACACATAAAACACATATACACAGACTGGGCCACAGCAACACGTGGCAGGGGACAGCTAATATATATATATAAGCGCCATCCCCTGCCATGCATTGCTGTGGCCCAGTCTGTGTATATGTGTTTTATGTGTGTATATATGTGTGTGTTTGTATATATGTGGTTTTGTGAATGCATTGCAATGTATTTTTCAATTTTTTTTTTTTTGGCTTTTTAAGTCTTTTCTGCTGTATTTTTCAGTGTTTTTTACGAATGATGCTTACTTGTTAGCCTGATAGGTGTATTGTGTCCAAATTTGGTGTCAATTTGCCCAGTGATCAATGATTTATTATTACGGTCTATGACCAACACAACATAGAATGGGGCACAGGGTGCCCATGGAAAGGGAATCACAGTCCCCAAATATGTCAGATATAAAAGATTAAAAACATGTTATAAAAAGACAGATTAAAAGACAGGTTGAGCTTACAGTTTAAAGAGCAGGTATGGGTATGGGGAGGGGGGGGGACTACAAGGAGATATCAAACCACTGGGAGCTTCTGAAGTGGGAATGAGAGGGGAACATTTGCCCAATGGGTTTTGAGTTATGTTAATCCCACAAACAAACATTACATTTTTATTTATATAGATATGAGTTTTGCATAGCATAGGGAAGAGTCAACACCCTCTTGGGTTTCCTTTGCTGCCTGTACCCCTGTTTAGAAGATTCCACCTCACATTCTGTCCCTGTGATCACGGGATTTTGGAAAATGTGGTTTGTTGTGGAAACAAGGCTTGGAGAGAAAGTTTCAGTGGAGACCCCTTTTCTCTATGGCAATAACTCTTCCAGGAATGGATTTCCCTTCCAAGAGGTAGTGTTCTCTTACTACCAACTAGCTGGGTGTGATCTTGGACTCATCGCTGAGCCTGGAACCCCAGGTTTCAGCGGTGACCAGGGGAGCATTCGCACAGTTAAAACTTGTGCGCCAGCTGCGCCCGTACCTTGGGAAGTCTGACTTGGCCACGGTAGTCCACGCTCTGGTTACATCTCGTACAGACTACTGCAACGCTCTCTACATGGGGTTGCCTCTGAAGACTGCTCAGAAGCTTCAAATAGTCCAATGATCAGCAGCCAGGTTGTTAACAGGAGCGGCACTCAGGGAGCATACAACTCCTCTGTTGCGCCAGCTCCACTGGCTGCCAATTTGCTACCGGGCACAATTCAAAGTGCTGGCTTTAGCCTTTAAAGCCCTAAACGGTTCTGGCCCGACCTATCTGTCCGAACGCATCTCCTCCTATGAACCAGTTAGGATGTTAAGATCGTCTGGGGAGGCCCTGCTCTCGGTCCCGCCAGCTTCACAAGCACGCCTGGCGGGGACGAGAGACAGGGCCTTCTCAGTAGTGGCCCCCCGGCTGTGGAACGCCCTTCCTACAGACATCAGATCAGCCCCCTCCTTATTGGCATTCCGGAAGAGAGTGAAGACCTGGCTCTTCGAACAGGCTTTTAACTAGACAGTGCAATTGATTGATTACTGGAATATGGATTAAATGGACAATGAGATCGGATGCTGATTCTATTGATGAGATGTGATGGATTGTTGTTTTGCTGTATTGTTGTATTGCTGTATTGTATTGAAGTTTTTGATGCTAATTAATTGATATTACTGTTTTAAATGACTAATGATTTTTGTACCGTGTGGCTGATACTGGTTGTTAACCGCTCTGAGTCGCCTGATGGCTGAGAAAAGCGGTATACAAGTGAAGTAAATAAATAAATAAATACTAGCTGTCCCCTGCCACACGTTTCTGTTGTCCTATATACTCTCCTTTCATTCTTAGATGTATTTACATTGTTTATGTTACTATTTATTGTGAATTTTCCTTAATTATGTAGGTATACTGGATAGAGAAGGTCAAGGATTGCAATGCCAATCAGTCTGTGTAGAATGAGAATGTCAAATGGATTTTTAAACAAACACATTCAATTGGCCAAAGCAGGAAAAAAAATTCACAACACTTGTTTGTTTGTTTTTTCCCCCTCAGGACAACGGACAAAGAGGAAAAACAAAATTCTGAAAAATAAAATCAAAAGTGAAGAAACATTGCCATCTCAGACAAATGAGAACACAACAAGTACTTTTGGTGCGTATTTGTCAAAATGGAAAAGGATTTGGTAGGAAAACTTGCATCATACTTGATTACATTTTTAAAAGTGTCTTTTCTCATTCAGTTTGTTGTTGGAACATGAAAAACAAGGTTTTTTTTACTTTTATTTGTTCAAATGGTAAGCGAAGGATTGCTTCCGTTGGGTTGCTGTGAGTTTTCCGGGCTGTATGGCCATGTTTCAGAAGCATTCTCCCCTGATGTTTCACCCACATCTATGGCAGGCATCCTCAGAGGTTGTGAGGTCTGTTGGAAACGAGGCAAGTGAAGTTTATACATCTGTGGAATGTCCAGGGTGGGAGAAAGAACTCTTGTCTGTTAGAGGCAAGTGTGAATGTTGCAACTGGCTACCTTGATAAGCATTGGATAGCCTTGCACATTCAAAGCCTGGCTGCTTCCTGCCTGGGGAAATCCTTTGTTGGGAAGTGTTAGTTGGCCCTGATTGTTTCCTGTCTGGAATACCCCTGTTTTCTGAGTGTTGTTCTTTATTTACTGTCTTGATTTCAGAATTTTTTAATACTGCCACCAGATTTTGCTCATTCTCATTGTTTCCTCCTTTCTTTTGGAACTGTCCACATGCTTGTGGATTTTAGTGGCTTCTCTGTGTAGTCTGACATGGTGGTTTTTAGAGTGGTCCAGCATTTCTGCGTTCTCAAATAATATTTTGTATCCTGGTTGGTTCAAAAAGTGCTCTACTATGGCTGACTTCTCTGGTTGGGGCCAGCTAACACCTCCCAACAAAAGATTCCCCCCAGGAAGCTGCAAGGCCATTCAATGCTAATCAAGGTGGCCAATTTTACTATTCCCACTTAGCTCCAACAAACAAGAGTTCTTTCTCCCACCCTGGACATTCCACAGATATATAAACCCCACTTGCCCAATTCCCACAGACCGCCACAGATGTGGGCGAAATGTCAGGAGAGAATGCTTCTGGAACATAGCCATACAGCCTGGAAAACTCACAGCAGTCCAGTGATTCTAGCCACGAAAGCCTTCGACAACAGATTGCTCCCACTGTTTATGAGAAAGATTGATACTTTGGATATTAGTTGTGGCAAGATTCTTGTGTTTACATGAGCTGCGTGAATCTATTTTTCCAATCTACGCCTGTACGTTGGTTACATCTGCTTTATGTATTTTACTGCATTGGGAGGAAAGCCAGTGCATACATTTTGTATAGCATTTCAACATATAACCTAATTGCCAAATTAATGTCCCACTTATTATTTTTTTTTATGTTTTTCTTTGTACTTCCAAGAGGTTAATGACAGGATGATGATATTGCTCTCTGGGAAAAATCTCCAAAATGATTAAGAATCATCTTCTACCTTCAGTACCAACAAATGTATTAAAGCCTGAATTTCCTGGATTATAACCACTTTGGCAGATGCATGGAACATGATCCAGACTTTGCAGTATATATATGTTTTGGGATTAATGTATTCTCTGAGCCAGAGGAAAATTAAACGTGAAATGTATAATAATTTAGTATTATAAGAGAGCCTCATCCCAATTCAAAACCCTAGTGACAGACTTTCTAATAAATGTTAATTCTGCAGTCTCTTGCTTTCAACCTAGGCTTCTCAAGCTCCTTGCTTCCCAATGTATCAGTGACAGAATGTGTGTGTGTGTGTGTGTATCTATATAAATAAAAATGTAATGTTAGTTTGTGGGATTAACATAACTCAAAAACCACTGGACGAATTGACACCAAATTTGGACACAAGACACCTAACAACCCAATGTATGTCCTTCACTCAAAAAAAAGTTTTTGTCATTTGGGAGTTGTAGTTGCTGGGATTTATAGTTCACCTACAATCAAGGAGCATTCTGAACACCACCAACGATGGAATTGAACCAAACTTGGCACACAGTTCTCCCATGACCAACAGAAAATACTGGAAGGGTTTGGTGTGCAGTGTCCTTTGGTTTTGGAGTTGTAGTCCACCTACATCCAGAGAGCACTGTTGACTCAAGCAATGTTGGATCTGGACCAAACTCTACACGCATACTCAATATGCCCAAATGTGAACACTGGTGAAGTTTGGGGAAAATAGAATCTTGACATTCAGAAGTTGTGGTTGCTGGGGTTTGTAGTTCACCTGCAATCACAGAGCATTCCGAACCCCACCAACGATAGAATTGGGCCAAACCTCCCACGCAGAACCCCCATGACCACAGCAACGTGTGGCAGAGGACGGCTAGTGTGTGTGTGTGTGTGTGTTATGCCAGTCAGCTTTGGTACGATCTTATTTCTAGCACCCACTTTTTGCTTGATAGTCAAGCAGTGCTTCTCATAAGTCAGGGCACGGTCCAGTGTAACTCCCAGGTATTTTAGTGTGCTGCAATGCTCCCGTGGGATTCCTTCCCAGGTAATCTTCAGAGCTCGAGATACTTATCTGTTCTTAAGATGAAAAGCACACATCTGCATTTTAGACTGATTAGAAATCAGCTGGTTTTCCCTGTAATAGGCAGTAAGAGCACCTAAAGCTTCAGAAAATCTGGTGAGAAAAGCATACTGCTACTTCATAGGCAGAAAATCCCTTTTCATTTGAAACCAGGATGCACCCAGCATTTTCTACAGCCTGCGCTTTCCAAATATGTTTGACCACAATTTCAGATAGGTCCCCATAAGGATCCTTTTCTGGAAGGGGATGCTGGAAGTTGTATTCCAACACACTAGAAGACACTGTTGCAGATGTTGTCTTTTGTGTGGTGTTATGAATATTTTTCTTAAATAAACAATACTTTTTTAAAAAATTGAAGAGTGTGTTTATAAAAAGAGAAAGGAGAAAAACCCATACCTGGTTGCTTCAACCCTCTCTCTTTGTCTCTCTTCCCCAGATTTGTATCGGAGAGCCATGATGGCCCTGAAAATGCAAAAAGGGACTCCGAAGGCCCCCTCCATAGCCAGTTCCTGATCTAGTTATCCCCTTGAAGGCAGGGAATTGGAAATAGAATGAGTGAAGGAAAATGAGACTCTGTGACATTGGGTTTGAGTCCTGGTTCCACCATATTGCAGTATGACTTCCATGAGGGAGACGTTGCCATCAGCCTTAAAGGCTTGAAAATCTAGTCTCGAAAGATGGCTCTGAGCAGGCTTGCTTTCATGGAAGAAGCATCTGGCATTGTCTTCGAGAACGTTTGCGAGATCACCGTTGAGAATGGAAGAAGAAGAGCCATGTTCACAAAAGGACAACTTCTATGAAACTGGAATTCTGTTCTCCTGGAAAGTCACCCAAGTCTTTGCCATCGTGCAATTTCCAGAAGCAGCGTTTATTATCTACAGTGGTTGCCACACGTGTTAAATTGTACACTTGTCTAAATATTTGGATCTTATTTATTATTTATTTTATTTACAGCATTTTTATCCCACTCTTTTCAGTCTGAAGGCGACTAAGGGCGGTGTACAGATCAGCAACAATTAGATGCCACAATGTACATAATACATGCATACATATCAATTAAAAACATTTAATATTACATAATAAAAAATCATACAAAACCAATTAAAAACTATAATAATCAGTATCTTCCAGTTCAACTCATTATCCATTTGTATCGTTTAAGCCGTTCCATGTTTGTTATTTCATCATACTGCGTTTATCTGGTTAGGCTATGTTTCCGAAAGCTTGCTCGAATAGCCAACTGTTCAATTATCCAGGCAGAGTCCACTAGGGGGTGCTAGAGAGAGAAGGATAATCCATTTTATGGGGGTGGTGGGTGGGTTGAAGGAGTCAATCCATCCCCCACTGTCTTCCTGTTATTTCCCCCCACCCATGTCCCCGTTGTTGCACCCCAGGCTTGGAAACACCTTTGACCCTAGCACCACACAAGAGTCCAGAGTATAAGCAAATAGTTTATTCTAAGAACACATAAAATATATGAAAAAAGCAGGAATGAGAACCAAACAGGTATCCAAATGTCTCATACAGATCCAAAGGTAACACAGTCCAGGAATATCCAAAAATCGCAAGTACAGCATAAATCCATAAGCAAAAGGTATACTTAGTAAAACTTGAGGAGGAATATAAAAACAAGAACTTAGAACCCTTCCAGAATACCAAAATCCAAAACCGAGACAGCCTGAAATCACAGATACAGCATAAGTCCACTATCAAGAAGGTAAAACTAGTAAGACATAGAAAACTTCCAGGATATATTAAATCCAAAATCAAAGCTTGACTTGAACCAGGAACAAGAGAACTCAGGCTTACCTTCTCACTTTAAGGCAGTGTTGCCTGAGCTGACCTTAAGGTAAACAACTTGTTGTTCAATAGACACCCATGAAATCATGCGGTTTCCCATGAATTTCCTTCCCAACTTTCCCATGTAAACTCTCTGAATGACGCTCTGATTTACAAATGAAGACTTTTGTTGATCTCTGTGGCTACAGGTGGGTATCCATGAGAACCCTCTTATTACTCAGCTCTTCACTCGATTCCTTATCTGCTGTTGCTACTTCTGACTCCCCTGAATGCTCTTTCCTAACCCCTGCACTTTCCAAGCCAGTTTTCTCACAGGGAGAACCATCATTTCCCAGACTTGAATTTTCCTGACTTGAGAGCCCATCGCTTTGTGCCACAGGAAAGCTCAGAATCCTCTCTAAACAATCAGTTAAAACATCAGCCTCTGGTGGCTGATCTACAACACCACAAGCCAAATTTGGCCCTCCATGTCATTTTATGTGTCCCTCCAGGTGCTGGACTACAACTTCTGTCATCATTAGACATCATGACTAGAGATGATGGGAGTTCAAATACAGGAGCATCTGGAAGGTTGAATTTTGTTCTGTTTAGTCAGGAGAGTGGGATTTGGATTTAGATATACGGCTTGTGGAAGCCTGACTTTAACATGACTTTTAACCCTTCCCCAATGTCAGAGCCCCAAGTGCTGTTGGGTTGCAATTATAATCATCCCCAGTCCACATGGTAGATAATCAAAAGTGATAGGGTTGTCATTTAATAACGTCTGGGGCCCCGGATTGGATAAAAACTAAAGAACGCTCTGTAAAATAATTATAGTTGACCCTCTGTCAGAGATGGCCCTAGGTAATTTTCAACGGTAAGCAAACAGTATTTTGGGGTGCCCCCCCCCCCAACCAATCACTGATATATATTTTCTGTTCGTCGTGGGAGTTCTGTGTGCCATATTTGGTTCAATTCCATCATTGGTGGAGTTCAGAATGCTCTTTGATTGTAGGTGAACTATACATCCCAGTAACTACAACTCGCATATGTCAAGGTCTATTTTCCCTCAAGAGCGCCCCTGGGCAAAATCAACTATACTGCAAATGCTTGCTTTGCATAATGGGTGGAGCCGCCCCTGCCCTCTGTATTCATGGATCCTCCATTCATAGGTTCAACAGCCCTTTGAAGGCAACCATAAGGCTGATGTGGCTTTTGATGAAAATGAGTTTGACACCTCTGCTCTATGTGGAGCTGCCTTTGGAAACGGTTCAAAAGTGTCAGTGAGCAGAATACTGACTGGGGCCAGTTACAGGCAGCACACAGCTTCCTTGTCTAAACAGTTTGGCTGGCTATTGGTTCACTTCCAGACTTAATTCAAAGTGCTCCTAATGACTTATATAAAGTCCTTATATGGCGTAGGTCCAGACTATTTGTAGGGCCGCCTCTCCTTATGCAAACCTGCCACGGGGAAGGGCTTTCTCTCGGTCTGACCACTATCACCGACTCTTTTGGAGATGACGCAGGAAAGAACCTTCTCCCACCCCTTCCATGAAAGGTTTCTAGACCTCAAGACAAACTGGCAAACCTCTAATACTTGTCAGTTGTGAACCACAGCTTGAGATTCCTGCACACCCCACTTGAGTGTTAATTATTCCAGTAATTATCTAGGTGTTGCTGGCCTCTGAGCCCTGCATAATCTGTATTGGAGACATCTGGGGATTGAGGAAGGGGGTGGGAGTGCTATTAACTCTGCTGATTCTTACACAAGTTTTTTTAAAGGTGTATTTGTTTGCTCTAGGTCATAGATATTATAGTCTTGAATCAATGAAGGTTTATTAAAAAGATTTTTCAGTGTCATGGGCAGATAACAACACAGTAGGGAGGGAGGGAGAAGGGAATCAAATGGGTAAACAAATAACCTGGGCTAGGGAGAGATTCTTCTGTTGCTAGTACAGCATTTCTCAACCTGAGGTCGGGACCCCTGGGGGGGGGTTATTGCAAGGGGGTGTCACAGGGGTCACCAAAGACCAGTATTTTCTATTGGTCAGGGGTTATGTGTGGGAAATTTGGCCCTATTCTGTCATTGGTGAGGTTCAGAATACTCCTTGACTGTAGGTGAACTATAAATCCCAGCAATTACAACTCCCAAATGTCAAGGTCTATTTTCCACAAACTCCACCAGTGTTCACATTTGGGCATATTGAGTATCCGTGCCAAGTTTGGTCCAGATTCATCATTATTTGAGCCCACGGTGCTCTCTGAATGTAGGTGAACTACAACTCCAGACTCAAGGTCAATGCCCACAAAACCCTTCCAGTATTTTCTGAATGTAGGCGAACTACAACTCCAGACTCAAGGTCAGTGCCCACCAAACCCTTCCAGTATTTTCTGTTTTGAGCACACAGTGCTTTCGGACTGTAGGTGAACTACAACTCCAGACTCAAGGTCAATGCCCACCAAATCCTTCCAGTATTTGGTCATGGGAATATGTTGGTCATGGGAGTTCTGTGTGCCAAATTTGGTTCAATTCCATCATTGGCGGTGTTCAAAATGCTCTTTGATTGCAGGTGAGCTATAAATCCCAGCAACTACAACTCCCAAATGACAAAATCAATCCCCCCCCAACCCCACCAGTATTCAAATTCGAGCATATCAGGTATTTGTGCCAAATTTGGTCCAGTGAATGAAAATACATCCTGCATATCAGATACTAGCTGTCCCCTGCCACACGTTGTTGTGGCCCAGACTGTGTATATGTGTTTTGTGTGTATCTATATGTGTGTGCGTGTGTATGCTCTTTGATTGTAGGTGAACTATAAATCCCAGCAACTACAACTCCCAAATGACAAACTCAATTTTTTTGAGTGATGGTCACTCCTTGGGTTAGTAGGTGTCTTGTGGCCAAATTTGGCAGCAATTAATCCAGTGGTTTTTGAAATATCTTAATCCCACAAACGAACATTACATTTTTATTTATATAGAAGATTTACATTATGATTCATAACAGTAGCAAAACTACAAATATGAAATAGCAATTAAAATAATTTTATGGTTGGGAGATCACCACGACATGAGGAACTGCATTAAGGGGTCACGGCATTAGGAAGGTTGAGAAACACTGTGCTCGCAGGAGATTATCTCCATATCTAATCTATATCTGGGGCACTTCAATGGCTACTGAAGTGCCCATGGTAACAACTCAATGGATGTTCGTAGTAGTATTTCAGGGAAGCTTTGAACAGCAAGCAATCATATCATGTTGCAATCTGATGTTTGGAATAGGATTTGGCTGGGAAATGTAAACCTATTGCATGAAAGCTGTGGCAGTGAAACATCATCCCTAGATCCTATATTCCAGGGGTACGCCTCTGTTTGTGGGTTTCCTTTTGACTAGTATGCATTCCTGGATTATTCTGGAATACAAACACTAGACTAAGATTCTGTTTTCTCAGCCTCATCCTTTGCTAATCTTTTTAGCCGGTGTCATCCTGGCACCATTTCCGCCGGCAGGGCATTAGGACCCGGAGGTGGCTGAGCCGGAGCGTCAGGATGCCTGTCTCCTTTGTCATCCTCTTTGCCTCTGCAGCCTTCCTCTCCTGATTCCCTTCAATGGTGGCTGACCACCTCTTCCTCCACAGACCAGTGTTGTGACCCCCCAATGGCCTCCCCCAGGACTATAACCATTGTGGCCCTCTCCTTGGCCTTGGGCCTCTTCTTTGTCTTTATGGGGACCATCAAACTGACCCCGAGGCTCAGCAAAGATGCCTACAATGAGATGGTGAGTTGCACTAGCAAGGCTTTGGGGAGACATCTTGCTGGATGCTGGTGCTGATGCTGCTGCTGCCTCCGGTCTCTCCCTTTGCAAGCCCTGCCAGACTGACAAGCAGCTGTTCTGGGGATGCAGTGGGCGGAAGAGAAGGGAAGGGATCTGGAAGGGGGAAAGAAGAGCAGGAGCATCAATAGGTTGGGGACAGAGGAGCCAAAAGCTCCCATTGCTGCATCTAATTCCACCGGACAGTTCCCATTCCTGGGGATTCTCCTTCCACAGAATAGATCAGAACCCAGTTTATTCCTAGTGACAGTTCCCATTCCTGGGGATTCTCCTGCCATAGAATAGATCAGAACCCAAAACTATAGCTTGTAATTGGGAAGCAGGATAGGGACAGCATTGCACCGAAATTGGTCCTCTCTCTTTGGGAAAGCAAAGCCTTTCGGCACTTTCCATCACCACGATTTGCATCAATATCCAAGTGCACCAATATCCAAGCCTTTCCCTTTCCCAAACTGGACCCCGGCCCTTTCCATAACCACAATTTCAACCAATATCCAAGTGTTTTCTTTTTGCTATAGAATCTGCAGTCCATGGATCTATCTTTTCCCTTTCCCATACTGGACCCTGGCCCTTTCCATCACCACAATTTGAATCAATATCCAAGTGTTTTCTTTTTTGCAATATAGACTGCAGCCCATGGATCTAGGCTTTCCCTTTCCCAAACCGGATCCCGGCCCTTTCCATCACCACGATTTCCACCAATATCCAAGTGTTTTCTTTTTGCTATAGAGGCTGCAACCCATGGATCTAGCCTTTTCCTTTTCCCAAACTGGATCCCGGCCTTTTCCATCACCACGATTTGCACCAATAACCAAGTGTTTTCTTTTTGCTATAGAGTCTGCAGTCCATGGATCTATCTTTTCCCTTTCCCAAACTGGATCCCAGCCCTTTCCATCACCACAATTTGCAATTTGCATCAATATCCAAGTATTTTCTTTTTGCAATACAGACTGCAGCCCATGGAGCTATCCTTTCCCTTTCCCAAACTGGATCCCGGCCCTTTTCATCATCACGATTTGCATCAATATCCAAGTGTTTTCTTTTTGCAATATAGACTGCAGCCCATGTATCTATCCTTTCCCTTTCCCAGCTGGATCCTGGCCCTTTCCATTACCACAGTTTGCATCAATATTCAACTGTTTTCTTTTTGCTATAGAGGTGGCAGCCCATGGATCTATCTTTTCCCTTTCCCAAACTGGGTCCCGGCCCTTTCCATCACCACAATTTGCATCAATATTCAAGTGTTTTCCTTTTGCTATAGAAGCTGCAGCCCATGGATCTATCTTTTCCCTTTCCCATACTGGACCCTGGCCCTTTCCATCACCACGATTTGCATCAATATCCAAGTGTTTCCTTTTTACTGTAGAGTCTGCAGCCCATGGATCTATCCTTTCCCTTTCCCAAACTGGACCCCGGCCCTTTCCATCACCATGATTTGCATCAATATCCAAGTGTTTCCTTTTTAGAATAGAGGCTGCAATCATAGATCTATCCCACCCACCCCCACCCCCCACCCCCTGCAAATGGCATCCCCAGATAAGACAGAATGAGTTAGCCATGTCAGGGAGCAGGTTCAGAGCTGGAAATGGGAAATTATCTGCTTTAATAGTAGTGTGCGTGGAAGAAAGACAGAGAGAGGTCGGTGATAATCTGATGCGGCACTTGCGTTGGCTCTGCCAAAGGGCAATGTGACACCCTCCCTCCCTTTCCCAGGAGAAGCTTCTGGAAAATTGGAAATGTGGGGAAGTCTTTCATCAATTTTTGATGCAGTTTCTGCTTCCCGATAAACCAATATGACACCTCTCCTCCTGTCCATTGCCCACAAGGAAGCCAGACATGAGCCCCACCTGAGTTGCGATGCAAGCGGATGAAACATCATGCTCCAGTCTTGCCTCCCCCAATATAGTTTATGCTCCCATTTGGAGAAATAGCTAAAATGTCTTGGCGTCCCAAGAAACAATAGTGGAATTGGGTTGCTGTGAGTTTTCTGGGCTGTCTGGCCATGTTCCAGGAGCATTCCCTCGTGACGTTTCACCCAGGTGAATGTAGCATCATGCCCCACAGTCTTGCCTCCCCTAATATAATTTATTGCCCCGTTTGGAGGAATAGCTTGAATGTCTTGGCATCCCAAGAAACAATAGTGCAATTGGGTTGTTGTGAGTTTTCTAGGCCATCTGGCCATGTTCCAGAAGCATTCCCTCCTGATGTTTTGCCCACATCTACGGTAGCCATCCTCAGAGGTTGTGAAGTCTGTTGGAAACTAGGAAAATTGGGTTTATATATCTGTGGAATAATGTCCAGGGTGGGAAAAATAAAGAACTCTTGTCTGTTTGCGCAAGTGTGAATGTTGCAAACTGGCCAGCTTGATTAGCATTAAATGGCCTTGCAGCTTCAAAGCCTGGCTGCTCCCTGCCTGGGGGAATCCTTTGTTGGGAAGTATTCTCCCACTCCGGACCTTCCACAGATATATAAACCCCATGTTGCAATTGGCCAGCTTGTTTAGCATTGAATGGCCTTGCAGCTTCAAAGCCTGTCTGCTGCCTGCCTGGGGGAATCCTTTCTTGGGAGGTGTTCTCCCACTCCGGACCTTCCAAAGAAATATAAACCTCATATTGCAATTGGCCAGCTTGATTAGCATTGAATGGCCTTGCAGCTTCAAAGCCTGGCTGATTACTGACTGAGAGGGTCTATCGTTGAGAGGTGTTAACTGGTCATGAGTGATTCTCATCTGGAATCCCACTGTTTTCTAGTGTTGTTCTTTATTTAGTGTCCTGATTTTTTAGTGGAATTTTCTGGCATGTTCTATTTTTTGCCCATCACAGCCATGAATAGCAGATGAATGAGTCTCAGCGGCTCTATTTACGCCAAGCTGCCTCCCTGGAGGATTGGCAAAGGGCTTTGAGAAGCAAGTGGCAAAGGGCAGTTATGCCAAATCACACCAAGCGAGTGAAGGAAAAGCTCCATCGAATCAGACGCTTGCTCTTTTCCACCTTTTGTTTATTTTAATCCAAAGATGCCTCAATGTCAATAACATTAGTGTCTGAATGCCTTGACTTTTTAATTAACTATTTTTGCAAATGCCTCTTAAACACAGATAGTGGATTTAAGAAGGGCTTTAAAAATATTCAGTCAACAGACATATCTCAAATTCACAGTGTTGCCCTATTTTGCCAGGCAGCTTGAAGACCACACAAACACACATTTTGGTTCTTCTGTTTTCTATATATGTATTAAAAATAATAACAGACCTTCGCCATTAATAATAATAACATTAAGAATAACAATAATAATCTTTATTTATATCTCACCCTATCTCTCTAAGAGGGGACTCATTATTGATTATACCATAATATAATACTATACATTACTATATTATACCATATTAAAATACTATGTTTATACTATATCATATAGATATATTATATTATATGGATTATACCATATTATTATTGGTTATACCATATTATACCACTTAGTAAAATTCATTATTGGTTCTTCTGTTTTCTATATATGTATTAAAAATAATAACAGACCTTCGCCATTAATAATAATAACATTAAGAATAACAATAATAATCTTTATTTATATCCCACCCTATCTCTCCAAGGAGACTCATTATTGATTATACCATAATACTATACATTACTATATTATACCATATTAAAATACTATGTTTATACTATATCATATATATATATATATTATATTATATGGATTATACCATATTATTATTGATTATACCATAATATAATACTATACAATACTATATTATACCATATTATAATGCTATATACTATATATGTGTGTGTGTGTGTGTGTGTGATATAGATTATACCATATTATTATTGATTATACCATATTTATACCACTTGGTAAGATTCATTATTGATTATACCATGTTATAATACTATATTTATACTCTCTTTCTCTCCCTCTCTCTCTCTGTATATATATATAACCATATTATTATTGATTATACCATAATATAATACTATACATTACTATATTATACCATATTAAATACTATGTTTATACTATATCATATATATATTATATGATATGAATTATACCATATTATTATTGATTATACCATATTATATCACTTGGTAAGATTCATTATTGAGTATACCATGTTATAATACTATATTTATACTATATCTCATACATACTCACACACACACACACACATATATATATATATATATATTACCATATTATTATTGATTATAACATAATATAATACTATACAATACTATATTATACCATATTATAATACTATATTTATACTATATTTTTATATATAGATTAGATATAGATTATACCATATTATTATTGATTATACCATATTATACCACTTGGTAAGATTCATTAATGATTATACCATGTTATAATACTATATTTATACTTTCTCTCTATATATATATGTGTGTGTGTGTGTGTGTATAACCATATTATTATTGATTATACCATAATATAGTACTATACAATACTATATTATACCATATTATAATACTATATTTATATATATAGATTAGATATAGATTATACCATATTATTATTGATTATACCATATTTATATCACTTGGTAAGATTCATTATTGATTATACCGTATAAATATGCCCAGCGATTTATTGGTTGTAGCACAAACCAGCTTTTAAAACCGAACTTGCATTTTTCAAACAGAAGTGAAAGGAGGTTGAGGTTCGGCCAATGGAATCTTCTACTCCTCAATGTTCTCCAGTTGTGTTGGACTATAAATCCCACTGTCCTGCGGCAGTATTATGACCCTAACTGGATCATAATTGTTGCTGAAGGGTGCCAAGTTGCAGGATGCCTTATTTACTGACTGTTATGAACATTATAATTTTTAATGTTGCACATGCATTTAGAAAACAGTTACTGTACATTTCAGCTGCTCCTGGATTGGTATTGTGTTTGAGGAGCTGTCACCTCAGTGGAAAATTCAAAAGTTTCAGAACAAATGATAGATTGAATAGCGTGCTCATTTGCTTTGCTTTTCTTCTGTTATGAAGCAAATGTCACAAGTACGATGACGGAGGCTAATACTATCATTATTCCATTCGCACATGTGTTCCACTTTTTCTTGTAGCAGCAACGCTCTTCTCAGCAGGCACTTCCTCATTGCTGACACCTATTTTCTAAATAATAATAACAATAACAACAACAATAATAATATGCTGTATTTATATTCCACTCTATCTCCTCGAGGGGACTCAGGACAGATTTTATTTCATGTCAGGAGCGACCTGAGAAACTGTAAGTCGCTTCTGGTGTGAGATAATTGGCCATCTGCAAGGACGTTGCCCAGGGGACGCCCGGATGATTTGATGTTTTTATCATCCTTGTGGGAGGCTTCTCTCATGTCCCCGCATGAGGAGCTGGAGCTGATAGAGGGAGCTCATCCGCCTCTCCCTGGATTCGAACCTGCGACCTGTCGGTCTTCCGTCCTGCCGGCACAGGGGTTTAACCCACTGCACCACCGGGATCTCCTTTCAGGACAGATTACAGAACACATATACGGCAAACATTCAATGCTGTTATACAATTAACAAGGGCAGACAATACATAAACAGAGGTATAGGCTTCCCATCTTTTTCCATCTCTGGCATCTGGAGGTTGTACTCAACTCCGGACATGGGGAGATGCTGCCACTCCATCTTCCATGCCAAGGAGCTTTGTTGTCTATAGACGCCCTCTCGATCAAATCGTCAGCATGTCTGCATGGGCACCTTTTATTACCTCCCTGCTAAAGCGGTACCTATTTATCTACTCACATTGCTGTTTTCGAACTGCTAGGTAAGCAGAAACTAGGCTGTCAGTGGGAGCTCATCCCAACCTAGGCTTGAACTGCCGACCTTTCCATCGGCAAGATTTTTCTCAACTGTCCCAGACACTCTGTCATGAAAAATGCACTTATCAGGAAGGGGGTTGTTTTGTGGTAACCATTATTTATTCTCTAGCATGTCCTGGAATGACACAGGTAAAGACATTCCAACTAAGTATCAGGAAGAACTTTCTGATGGTAAGAGCCATTCAACAGTGGAATACATTACCTTGGAGTTGATGAAGTCTCCTTCTCTGAGCTTTTAAAGGCTTGGTGAATGGGGTTGGACTAGATTGCTCATGTGTTCTCTTCCAACTTATGATTCCATGACCTGCAAGTCCTGATCTGTTCGGTGCTAAAGAAAAGAACAGATATAACTACATAATTGAGTCTTCTGTATGTTTCATCCAGAACTAGGGTCACTTGTGTCTTCTATGTCAAGAAGGTGGCAAATCCACTGTAGTCTAAACTTTTAAGGAGCTATCCAAGAACCCAAACCTTGGATAAGATTCATTACCTTCCATAGCTCTCTTAAAATTTAGACTGTGAACCTCACCACACTAAAGCAATGGTTTCCAACCTGTGGTCCATGGACCGCCAGTGGTCTGCAAGATGGTCCACGGCCTCACCATTACTACACTGTTGCAAAGAGAGTGGTTGGTTTCATGAAACTCCCTTATAGTGCCAAGGCTTATTGAATATGGTTTTCTGTGGGTGAGCAGATGGAGACTACTATGTTCTGTATCAGAAACTAGAGCTGATGTGGTCTAGCCAAAGCAATTTTCTGAATCAGCACCCCAAATAACCAAACCGAATTCCACTCTGAACAAAATTTTACCAAGGAAATCTCATGATAGGATCACCTTGGAGTCACCAATATTAAATGGCTTGAAGGTACACAACAATAATAAATTATTTCATCTGATAATGACTTCTTATCTGCCTTTTCTTGAACGTATTGAAAGTAACTGCAGTCGATTCTCAGAGGTCTCGTCTACACTGCTATATAATCCAGATTATCAAAGCAGATAATCCACATTATCCGCTTTGAACTGGATTATATGCATCTACACCAGCCATGAGCAACCTTCATCTCTCCAGGGGTTTGGGACTTCAACTCCCACAATTCCTAACAGCCTCAGGTCCCTTCCTTTCCCCCCTCAGCCGCCTAAGCTGCCTACGTGACTTGGGCCAGGTCAGCAATGAAAGAAACTCCCCGAACCCCATGCAAATTGTAAAATGAGGATGCCATAAAACCTGACAAGACAAGAGACTGAGGTAACACAAAAACATACAATGTGCATGCAAGATGGTTAGCTTTTCCAACAGAATCCCCGTTGTTCAGTTCTGTTCAAATCAGTAATGTGCTCCAACTTTGTGGTGTTTATATGACAGAAGGAGATGCTACCCTTGCATTGAATGCCATGTTCTTGCTCCTTTGTTTGCAGAAACGGGCCTACAAGAGCTACGTCCGGGCGCTGCCCATGCTGAAGCGGATGGGGATCAGTTCCATCATCCTTCGTAAGAGCATCGGGGCTTTGGAGGTGGCCTGCGGCATTGTCATGACGCTGGTCCCCGGGCGCCCCAAGGACGTGGCCAACTTTCTGCTGCTGCTGTTGGTCCTGGCAGTGCTCTTCTTCCACCAGCTGGTGGGAGACCCCCTCAAGCGCTACGCCCATGCCTTGGTCTTCGGCATCCTGCTGACCTGCCGCCTGCTCATTGCCCGCCAGCCTGAAGAGCAGCCGCCGGAGAAGAGGACCATGGCTGTGAATGGAGAGGAGCAGCCACTTCTCGCAGAAGGAGAGCCAGAGAAGGGCAAAATCAAGGTCTCCTAGTGGGGCACCTTTGAGGGACACGCGGACCCTCCATGCAGCTCTTTTCCCCAAAACATCTATGAAAAAAAAGATTTGCGTTCCTTTTCCTTTTTTTGGTTCCGTAAAGGGTTGCATATCGGAGCATGGGGTAAACCTTAAGTTTGCCAACTAAACAACGACTTGGCTTGTGCACTCCAAACCTCTACAGCTGCCCTCTGCTACACCCCCACATGTGTAGATATGATTTAATTGTAATGGCTCTGGAGGGGAATAAGTGTACCTTGTGTTGGGTGTGTGTGTGTGTTTTGTGCATAAGGGGAGAGACTGCTGGGTTGGTTGGGTAAAACTGCTTGATGGCGGAATCACCTAAATGGCCTCTGATCCAACCTGGATTCTTTAGGAGCAAAAGGAGTGGGAAGGAAGCTCCAAATCCTGTGCTTGTTCACTCCCCTTGTCCTTTCCCCTCTTTGCCCAGCATCTTGCACTGGAGCGATGGGCATTTCTTTCTTGCTTCACATGAGCCAAGTGGTACGCCCCACACAGAGAATAAAGAATGCTGTATACCCAATAATAATAATAATAATAATAATAATAATAATAATAATAATCACCTGCAGTTATTTCAGTCTCCCAGGTCTGTCTGTGTTGCTCTCACAAGATCCAGGACCTCTCTCCGCATCACCCAACACATTAACCTGCTTTTCCTGCCATCCGTTCACTCTCTAACTTCATGGAGTGACAGGTTTCTGTGGATGGGTTGGAGAAGTTCGTTCTTGGCACTAGGAACAAGCTTCATGTCCCATCTTGCAACTCAACCTAACAAATCAAATGATAGCAAAGTCCCTCTTAAGATGCTCTTCAGATTGGAGGGGGGAATAAAGAAGGAAAAAAGAAAAACTGTCATGAAGAAACACATCTCTTACATGTATGTTGCCTTTCTTGGTAGTGTCCGGTTGCATTCCTCCCTTCTTTTTCTCCCCTTAATTTATATTTTAAGAAAAATAAACCTTTTTAAAATTTGGAGGAAAACTGCCTCGTATATTGTCAGATTTTGCATGTGTGTGATCGATATAAATAAAAATGTAATGTTCGTTTGTGGGATTAACGTAACTCAAAAATCACTGGATGAATTGACACAAAATTTGGACACAATACTCCTATCAGGCCAACAAGTGAGCGCCACTCAAAAAAACACTGAAAAACACAGCAGAAGGGACTTAAAAAGCCAAAAAAGCAAAAAGATGCTACTGTGCATGCGCAAAAATGACTCCCCTGGCAAACAAAGCACACAATAGCAAATCCACACTCTCTTCCGTACTACAGTTCCCAGCATCCCCTAGACCAGGCCCTTTAGGAGAGGAGGAGGATCCAAGCGCACTGCTTCCAACCTGCAAGCTTTCTTCTCCTTGGATTTCTTTGAGAGCATCCCAATCCCGGTATATTTCCAGTTTCCTATTCCTGGACTGCAACTCCCAGCAATTCCAGAGATAGATAAATGAGAGATAGATAGATAGATAGATAGATAGATAGATAGATAGATAGATAGAGATAGATAGATAGATAGATAGATAGATAGATAGATAGATAGATAGATACATAGATCAGGAGGACTGCTGGGAGTTGCAGTCCAAGAATAGGTAGAGAAGGAGGGGGTGTCAGAGGGGTCGCCAAAGACAATTACAAAACACAGTATTTTCTGTTGGTCATGGGGGTTGGTTCCGTGTGGAAAGTTTGGCCCAATTCTATCATTGGTGGAGTTCAGAATGCTCTTTGATTATAGGTGAACTATAAATCCCAGGCACTACAACTCCCAAATGTCAAGGTCTATCCTCCCCAAACTGCACCAGTGTCCACATTTAGGCATATTGAGTATTCATGCCAAGTTTGGTCCAGATACATCAGTGCTCTCTGGATGTAGGTAAACTACAACTCCAAAACCCAAGGTCAATGCCCACTAAACCCTTCTAGTATTTTCTGTTGGTCATGGGAGCTCTGTGACCCGAGTTTGGTTCAATTCCATCATTGGTGGAGTTCAGAATGTTCTTTGATATTGTAGGTGAACTATAAATCCTAGCAACTACAACTCCCAAATGACAAAATCAATCCTCCCTTCAACCCCACCAGTATCCAAATGTGGGCGTATCGAGTATTCATACCAAATGAATGAAAATACATCCTGCATATCGGATATTTACAAGATAATTCATATATTTTTTATTTTTTATTTTTATTTCAGACACTTTTACCCCGCCCTTCTCACCCCGGGGGGGACTCAGAGCGGCTTACAAAGGCACAATTCGATGCCGTCATCAATACAACAATAAAATACAATAAAACAATAAAAACAATATAGCAGCAATTAAACAGTTAAAACAATTAAACAGTCGGTTCTCAGTTCTACAACACGTCAATAAACCAGTTTAGCATTCTGCGTTCGCCGTCACATAGTCCATAGTTTCAATTCCACATTGTCAGTCCTGTTAATTCTAGTCGTCCATTGTCCTTAGCTGCCAGGTTGCCCGAAGGCCTGGTCCCATAACCACGTTTTTAATTTCCTTCTGAAGGAGAGGAGGGATGTTGCTGCTCTGATCTCCCCCGGGAGTGAATTCCACAGGTGAGGGGCCACCACCGAGAAGGCCCTGCTCCTCGTCCCCACCAGCCTCACTTGTGATAGAGGTGGGGTCGAGAGCAGAGCCTCCCCAGATGATCTCAGAGGTGGGACGTAGAGGGAGATGCGTTCGGACAAGTATGCCGGACCGGAGCAAAACAGTAGCAAAATTCTAGTTGTGAAGTAACAACGAAAATAATGTTATGGTTTAGGGTCACCACAACATAAGGAACTGTATTAAGGGGTCACAGCATTAGGAAGGTTGAGAACCACTGATCTAGCTACTTATAAGATATGTAAAAGCAAAGCATTCCCTTCCAAACTATATCTGCAAAGGTAAGTAATTACATTGGAGGGTTCGAACTGATGCTAAAGTTAATTCTGCAAGTTCTACATATGGTTTTTTTGGCAGACGTTGACACAAACTCTACTGATGGCATCTCCTTGAAAGAGTTTTACAACCACATAGGTGTTCTCCATTGAAAAGAGTAGCCGAAAGTGCAAAAAATCATCCTTAACCATAAACTATATTACAGAAAATATACAGAAATGCTTCAGGAGAAGGCAGCTGTCCAATGTACTGAAATGACTATGAGCACAAAATCATGTGTCGGTTTTGTCAATAACTTGTGTAGTCAACTTGCAAAAGTGTTGCAACAATTGCATTTTTGTTGTTATGATGGGCTTTCAGTCCAATTCTGATTTATAGCAACTTTTATCATATAGTTTTCTGTGCAAAAATGTATTTCAGAGATGTGCCATTAGCTTCCTCTGAGGCCGAGAGGATGTGACCTACTGGACTGTGAAGGGATTTATAATCTATCTCTATCTATCTATCCACACAATAAAAGTGAAAATATGTATGTGTGTATGTGGCTGGGGTGTCCACTTACACACACAAGCTCCTGCCTCCATAAACAGCTATGATCCCCACCCATGAAGACCCACCAAAGGCCCTCCCTCCAATGACATTGCAGATTATAGTGAGTGCCGTAAATGTGTCCAAGAGCCCTGCCAATGTCCTCCACAAACACTATACTGCCCACCACCCAAGTGAAGGATTTCATCCTAGATGTTATGTTTTTCCTCCACCACAGACATCCCAGTGTTTCTGACTCTCTCCATTGGTGCAGAATTTGCATGACCCCACCCAATGTCTCTCTCATAACTCTTTCCTATTTTTTTCTATGGCACACAGCAAACAGAAGAACTGACCAGCAACTGAACATACTAGAGATGTTTGGAGAGAATTCACCATGATTTATATGAGTTGAAGGTCCTGGGATGTATAGTTCACCTGCAATCTAAGAGCACTTTGAACTCCACCAATGATGGACATGGAACTAACTTGGCACACAGAACCCCCTGACTAACACAAAATACTGGAGGTCTTTGGAGAGATTTATAGGAGTTGTAGTTCACCTACATCCAGGGCAAACTATGAACCCAAACAATGATGGATCTGGACCAAACTTGGCATGCGTACCCAATATGTCCAAATTAGATTACTGGTGGATTTTGAGGGGAATTGGCCTGGACATTTTAGAATTTCAGGTACTGGGATTTATAGTTTATCAGGGTTAACCTGGCATGAGGTCAGTTGTACTTAATCCACAACCTTATGCATTTTGTAAAATTAAAAATGACTTTTTCAAAGAACCTAGGCAGTATATCAAATCCTAGAATCATTGAGTTGGAAGAGACCTCGTGGGCCATTCGGTCCAACCCCATTCTGCCAAGAAGCAGTAAAATCGCATTCAAATATACACAAAATGCAAGTTATTGACGAACATTTTGGTTTGTTGTTGTTCATTTGTTCAGTCGCTTCCGACTCTTCATGACCTTTTGGTAATATAATATAATTAGTTTTATTAATATTATTATATTAAACAATAACATAATTGCTTTAATAAATTTAAATGTTTCATTTATATTATATTATTGTTAATATTAATCTGATAAGTAATATATTATTTTATTAATATTATAATTAATATTAATCAATTTATAATAGTTTTATTGATAGTACATCTTATGATAACAATATATTTTATTAATATTATTATTATATAAAAGAATATTAATAAAATATATTGTTATAATAAAATGTACTATCAATAAAATTATAATATAAATTGATTAATATTAATGATATTAGTATATATTATATTATAATAGTATTATAATATTATAAAATAATATTAATAAAATATATTGTTATAATAAAATGTACTATCAATACAATTATATTATAAATTGATTAATATTAATTATAATCTTAGTATATATTATATTATTATAATAATAGTATTATAATATTATAAAAGAACATTAATAAAATATATTGTTATAATAAAATGTATTATCAATACAATTATATTATAAATTGATTAATATTAATGATAATATTAGCAATTAATAATATAATTGCTTTAATACATTTAAATATTTTATTAATATTATATTATTGTTAATATCAATCTGATAAGCAATATATTATTTTATTAATATTATAATTAATATTAATCAATTTATAATACAATTTTATTGATAGTACATTTTATTATAACAATATATTTTATTAATATTATTATTATTATATTATAAAAGAATATTAATAAAATATATTGTTATAATAAATGTACTATCAATACAATTATATTATAAATTGATTAATATTAATTATAATGTTAGCAATTAACAATATAATTGCTTTAATACATTTAAATGTTTTATTAATATTATATTATTGTTAATATTATAAAATATTAATAAAATTAATAAAATATATTGTTATAATAAAATGTATTATCAATACAATTATATTATAAATTGATTAATATTAATGATAATGGTAGCAATTAATAATACAATTGCTTTAATACATTTAAATGTTTTATTAATATAATAATATATGGCTCTAGATGGGAAATGTCCTATGAACACTCAGAAGAGATGATCCACATAAATACGCCTTTTTCCAGTTTGCGCATGCGTAATTCTACTTTTTCCAGTAGAAATGAATGAAATAAATACGCCTTTTCCCCATTTGCACATGCGTAGTTCCTTTCGAACCTTGTCGCTACAGCTCTTCGTGAGCATGCGCAGTTCTGCTCTCATCTGGAGGAAGATGATGTCATTCGGTTCTCAAAAGGCAGAGGCGAGGGAGACTTCTGCGCAGGCGCGGAAAGACCTTTGGCAAAACAACCAATGGGCGCCCGTTCTGCCCACTTCCTGTCTTCGCCGCTGGAATACTCTTTTGCGCATGCGCAGGGCGGAAAATTTGAACTGAAGTGACGGTTAAATGGAATTGTTGTGGCGGCGGAGGTTTCGACGGTGAGGGGAAAACAGGTAGGCCTCTGTGGGGGAAGTCAAGGCAGGAGTGTTTCAGTATTCAGTGGGTCAATGTGGCCTTTTGGCAAACTTTAAATGTATTAAATGGGGATATGGCCTAAGGCAGGCCTGGGCCCACTTGGGCCTTTCCTCCAGGTGGGGCAAAGAGCTCTTCTCTGCTGGAGCTAGGTGTGAATGTTTCAACTGACCACCATCATTAGCATTTGAAGGCCTGGCTGAGCCTGGGGAATCTTTTGTTGAGAGGTGTTAAGATGTGCCTGGTTGTTTCCTCTCTGCTGTTTTGCTGTTGAGAACACAGAAATGCTGGACCACACCAGCAACCACCATGTCAGACTACACAGAGAAGCCACTGAAATCCACAAGCATGTGGACAATTTCAACAGAAAGGAGGAGACCATGAAAATGAACAAAATCTGGCAACCAGTATTAAAAAAACTCTAAAATTACAACAGCAAAAGATTGGAAAATGACTGGAAAGGCCCTACAGCTGATGCTTACTTACTTACTTAGGCGATCCCTCGTAGTCCGAGGATGATGGCCCTCCAAGTGTAGTATCCTGGCAGTGGGTCCGTAGGTGACTGTGGAGCCCTATTCTTGATCTGCATCTTCTGCAGTGAGGGCATCGGTTTCCAGGTGGAAGGTGGTCCCGGTCGGAGTTGGCTTGACACTCCCTCCTCTTGGCACGTTTCTCTCTTTCGCCCTCCATTCGTGCCTCTTCAAATTCTGCAGCACTGCTGGTCACAGCTGACCTCCAGCTGGAGCGTTCAAGGGCCAGGGCTTCCCAGTTCTCAGTGTCTATGCCAGAGATTTTAAAGTTGGCTTTGAGCCCATCTTTCAATCTCTTCTCCTGTCCACCAACGTTCCGTTTCCCATTCTTGAGTTTGGAGACTGTAACTGTTTTGGGAGACTGTAGTCGGGTATCTGGACAACATGGCCGGTCCAGCGGAGTTGATGGCGGAGGACCGTCGCTTCAATGCTGGTGGTCTTTGCTTCTTCCAACACGCTGACATTTGTCCACTTGTCTTCCCAAGAGATTTGCAGGATTTTCCAGAGGCAACACTGATGGTATTGTTGTAGGAGTTGCATGTAACGTCTGTAGACAGTCCACATTTCGCAGGCGTATAGCAGATTTGGGAGGACAACAGCTTTATAAACAAGCACCTTGGTATCCCGGTTCTCAAACACTCTCTGCTTCATTTGGAAAAATGCTGCACTCGCAGAGCTCAGGAGGTGTTGTATTTCGGTGTCGATGTTGACTTTGGTGGAGAGGTGGCTGCCAAGGTAGCGGAAATGGTCAACATTTTCTAATGTTACACCATTAAGCTGTATCTCTGGCATTGGAGAGGGATTGCCTGGTGACTGCTGGAAGAGCACTTTGGTTTTCTCGTTGTTCAGTGACAAGCTGAGGTTTTCGTATGCTTCTGCGAAGGTGTTTAGAGTGGCTTGTAGGTCTTCTTCGGAATGCACACAGACAACGTTGTCATCAGCATACTGGAGTTCTACAACATATGTTGTTGTAACCTTAGTTTTGGCTTTCAGTCTGCTGATGATACTGTTTATTGTTTTAATTAATGCTTTATGTACTGTTTTAGTTAATGTATTATGTATTTTAATTATTGCGGGATTATTGTAATTGTTTATATGTAGCGGCATCAAATCGTTGCCAAATGTAAGCCATCCTGAGTCCCCCTTCGGAGGTAGAGAAGACACGGGGTATAAATACCAGAAATAAATACATAAATAAATAGATGGAATGGCCAGATGATGTTACTGGATAACATTTTTAACAAGATTCTTTAATGGTTTTATTTATGTTTTATATTGTAATTTTGATTGTTGTTAATGACACTTTTATGAATGCCTGACATCAAATTGTGCCAATCTATAACCCGCCTTGAGTCGTCATATGGCTGAGGAAGGTGGGCTATAAATATCGTAAATAAATAAATATTTCCTTATCCCCTAATTTTTCCTTCGGCTGAATTTATGTGTAAGCCAGAACTGGTACATTTTAAAGATCAAAACAGATAATCTGGATTCAGTAACTGGATGATACAGCTGTGTAGATCCAGTGTGAGATCTCTCATTACCAACTGTGGAAGATGCATGGTTGGTGAGAATGAGAAAATGAGTGTTCTAAGGAGCTTCTTTATTTCTTGGGATGGCAAGGATTCTTATGTACTTGTGTGTGGAACACATAGCAGCTCCTTGGTGGTTTTTAAAAAATGTGCTTAAGTTTGTTTTCTGTCTTTTAGGTAGCTTTTCGTTCATTTTTGGCTCAAAATTCATATACTGTTAGGGAGAAAAACTGATATTGACAAATGAAAATAACTAGACTTGCTTTGCTGTTCTTGCAACGGATTTGGAAAGGATGAAGAAAGGCATAAGTGCTAAACAGCCAGAAGAAACATTGCCTGCTATCTCTAGCAAGGACACAAATCTTTCTGCATGGAGAACAAAGTATGCTGCCAGCAAAGATGCACAGAGTGATAAAACTGCACAGATGTGTATCAGTGAAGAGGGTGACAGTCAAAACATTCTTAAAGAAGCACTTAACTTTTTGAAGAAAGGTAAGAATATAAGTAAGGCTAGTGTTATTGCTTATCTGGTTAAAGTAACCTTCCTCAACATATTATTCTCTAGATGTTTTGGTCTTTTATGTCCATCAATCCCAGTCAGCATAGACAATTGCAAGAGATCATACAAGGCGTGGTGCAAAATAACTGAAGGATATTACAGGGTTGCATCTCATTAATTTTTGTAGCTTTTCATTGTTCATACTTATTTGATGATAAGTTACACAATAGCTGTCTTTACATATCTGAAGGAGTGGCATGTAGAAGATGGAGGCAGTTTGTTTTATGCTGCTCCAGGAACAAGGACATGAGTAAGTGGGTTCAAATTCCAAGAAAAGGAGATTCCACATAAACATTAAGGAGAACTTTTTTACAGTAAGAGCTGTTTAATAGTGGAATAGACAACCTAGTGGGGAATCTTCATTTTTGGAAGTTTAAATAGAGGTTGGCTGAGCATCTTGCAGGAGTTTGTTAGTTGCGTATTCCCACATAGCAGGGTAATGGGCTATACAGCTCTTTGGTCCTTTCCATTTCTAAGATCCTATGGTTCTAGGTATAGCATTCCACTAACTCTGAGTAGGCATTGTGCTGATGAAGTTAGATTGAGTGAAGCCTAATATTTCCAATTGTGGCTTTTTTTTCGTTTAGCAAACAGCAGAAATATGTTTATTAATCATGTTCATCTAAATAGAAAGGAAAACATTGTGCACTAAGACCATAACACCCTTGTTGTTATTTATTCGTTCAGTCACTTCTGACTTTCAAACACCTCTGAAAAGTTCATTTTGTGAGAGGAAAAATTGGTGATGTAGAGTACTTGGAAATGAAAATGTCATATGAAACATTTCTCAGGATTGTGTTTAATGTGCAACTTTACCTGCTTTGATTTTTTTCCTAGTAAAAGGCCGCACTTCTCTGAAGAATGAGATTCTACAGAAACACTTGACGATTGTGGAAAAGATTGCCCAAGAAAGGGGCTTGAAAGCAAAAGAAATTGATGTTTTGCTGAATGTGGCACTCAGTGGCAAGTTTGGTAAAAACCATTTCTTGTTTCTGTATTTCCCTTTGGCTTTGAAGAGTACATGAGATCATTTGAATTGCTCTATGTGAGCCTCTACTAGCTTGTAAAAGATTATCAATACTACGAAAACCTAAGTGGTTGATCTTACTGTCTTCCAGCTGAAATGGTAAATAGTCGATTGCTGAAGAACTTGATTCCCACATCCACAATAACAGACGATTCAATTGTTTCAGCTGTGTCTTGTCTTTGTGCTGGCAAATGTTCTAAAACTACTCAGGTAAAGTATCAAGCATGGTGTTGATGCTCCATTTTTAGAAGTAATATTTATTTTCATTTGGGCTTATCCCGCACATTCACCATATTTCATAACAGATTTGTTGTGCTTGCCTCTCTCTTAATGAAGGATATGTTTTTCCCCCTTTATTAGGCACTCTTTTTAAAATGGCTGATTGCAATGTTTGACTTCATTGATCAGAAGGAAAAGATTAATGCTCTCTATGGCTTCTTCTTCAACTTCTTAGAAGATGAAAAACTGGTAAGATAAAAATAGTGAAAGAAAAAAAAATGTTCCCTTTGACAGTGTACCACTTCATTCTTTATGATAATTTTAATTAGCTCTTCTACTTAGTTGCCAAGAGTCATCCTGTGTCTTATTTTGGGTTGTATTTTGACTGGGCAGGTTATTTCTTCAAAATGAATGTGGTTCACAAGAGATCTGTGTTTAAAGTTATAAGGTGTTTAAATTATTTTGTTAATACATTCTACGAAGAGTTGGTGAATAAGCACTATCTGCTTGTACTTATCAAATTAGGAAGAGAACATGCAATCTTTGAAGTTCACTGCTTGTGTTCATTCAAGGATTTTCTTTCTGCAGTTCCCCTTTGTCTGCCACGTGCTTTACTTGCTGACCAGAAGAGAGAATGGTAAGATTCCAGTTGGATTCATGGCACATTCGGTGCTTGCAAAAGTGAATGATTTTTATCCATTGCCTGACACAGGCTTTCTGTCACAGTGAGTAGTCATTTATATTTTTTACCGCCCAAGGATTGGAGCCCCTAGTAGCGCAGTGGGTTAAATATGTGGGGACATCTCACAAGGATGGTAAAACATCAAATATCCGGCCATCCCCTGGGCAACATCCTTGCAGACGGTGCCCGTTCTCTCACACCAAAAGCGACTTGCAGTTTCTCAGGTCACTCCTGACATTAAAAAAAAAACTGCTCAAGGATTATCTTGTTGAATAGAACGTATGATGCCATTTACTGTGTCAACTAATTGAATCTGGCAACATAATATCTATAGCAAAAAAAAAGCATGATTTGTCTTCATTCTCTGTGCTGTCCTACCCTATTTCCAAATTGTCTCACCATTTGGAATATTTATCTTAATTGTTTCATTTAAAATTGTCTTGCAGAAGAGCAACAAAATTTCTAAATTAAAGAATTACTGTATTTAATTTGAAGACACACTTTTTTCTCTACATAAGTATCTCTAAAAATGGGGTGTATCTTAGAATCGCAAGTGTATCTTACATAGTTTTGTTGGTGATGGTACTAAAATTAGGGTGTGTCTTACAATCGATGACATCTTACAGCATAAGGAATTTGGTATTATGGGATTTCATTTGTATTTTTCCCTGTAGTGAAACCTTTCCGTGTGAGGAGGCTCCTAGATCTACAAACCAGGAAGGTGAGTTATTTGAAACTCAAGTCAAAGCACCTTTAAAAGATTTTTCATTAACTTATTTTATTTTATTTATTTACTATATTCATACCCCCCCCCTTCTCACTCAGAGAGACTTGTAAGAAGGCAACAATTGAATGCTGCATATACAGACATTCAAATAAAATAAACATGCATTAATAACCATAGAGTGAAAGACCATCTAAATACTAAAATCAGTTATTGAAACCACACAGTCCAAAATCATAGTCCAGGGGCCATTCCGGTCATAAACGCACTTTATATAATATGTAAGTATTTTTTAAAATGGTATAGAGTAGACATCAAGTTTTTCTTATTTACTGTGAGCCATATTCTGTCAGGAGTCATCTGAGGGAATTGCATGGTGCAGGTGGACAGAGTGAGGTTCAAAAACAAGTAAGTTTTCCCTTCTGTCTTCTGCTCAGTTGTGCTCCATCTCTCTGTCTTTTACCCATATGTTGTTGCACTTTATGTATAAGCAAAAGAAAGGAAGCACAGTGCTAGAGCCCATTTCTCTCTTGTGATCTTTGGCTTACTCTTCTGATAATGCACCTGCAAGTCATAATTACAGTGATTTCCAATAGCTTAAAGCAGCAAGTTCATAGGTGATGGCTGCCACAGATGGATAATAATAACAATAACAATAATAGTCTTTATTTATATCCTGCCCCCTGAACTTGATGTGGCTTTCAGAAAATGAATACAGTACAAAAACACAAAAATAATACATAAACGACAATCCCAAAAACCTAATGAAAAATAAAACACAATACAAAAACCAGGCAAAAATTAAAACATAATAATAAATGGTAATATTAAAACCTCAGACTAATCATAACAAAACACTTTAAAAAGTAAGCTGAATTAATTTTTTTTGCTGGATTTAAACATATTGTCCACAGAGGCAAAACCAGTTCAAGCCAGTTGGTATTGGTACAGTTATAAAACCATCGTTACAGTAAAATGATAAATCAACCCTTTTTGAACGTCTACTTCCATGGATGAGACAGGAACACACAATCTAACTTTCCTCTGGTTGCTTTTCAGGGACCCGAGCCTCTTCTGCAAGCCTTGCTATTGTTGTACAAGAGCTTTGCTCCGGAAATGGTATCTGTGACTCTACCCACAAAGATAAAGGTGAGGAATAGGATAGCTAGAAATAAGGGCTGAGCTGGGCTCTGTTGGCAAGGGCCACTGTATTAAAATTCAGTGTGACTAAATTTTCAAACTCCAAATCGAACCAATAACAATGGCTTATGAGACTGATAAGTACATTGCTGCTTTCTCTTAAACTCTGCATGTCATGTTACTTAAAATGAAATGGTAAATCAAGGGGAAGCCAGGGTTGCCACAGTGATTAAATTAGAATACCATAGCTATACAGTTCCATGTAAACTATTATTAGAGATTCCTCTTGGACTGCTGTATGCTTCTGGATGTTGGACACTTTGGCTTCTACGAAGGTCAAATTTTGAAAATGATTCGGCCATCCAACAAACATATCAAATCAGTGTGTAGTACATAGCTATGGGCTGAGCAAAACTGATTTTTTGAAAGCATAGAGAAATGAATTTTAGGCTCAAATAGGACTGTTTTTGTGTAAGAGCTATGCTGAACTAGTTGCAAACTAATATTTTCAGAAGGATTCATCCAAATCTGAATCAAAACAGAAATTAAGCTGAGTAATAGATTCTAATGTTAATTTGCATAAAACTCTAATAGTGAGTGCGTTAACTGCTTAGAGGGATGTTTTTCATTAATGCTTCTTGCTATTATGAGATGAGAGGGCTGCTCTGTGGGTTACGTGGCTGAGTACAAATAACCATCTGATGGGTTATAGCTCTAATAACATCTGTATCTTATAACTTTTCATTAACTTTGTTTCTAGGCACGGTTTAGGAATTTGGGAAACTTATGGAAATCTGCAATCAGCAACATAAAAAGGCGGATCTATGGGGAACTGCCTGCATCTAAGCCAGATAACATAGGCGTTGGTGGTCTCCAGTCACGGAAGAGAGTGAGTTAGCTTGCAGGTTGCTTGAATGCCTTCACTGGACTATATTAATTAGGTTAACTTTTTTGTAAGCTATGTGGCATTATTTAACAGCTTATTGCCTTTTTGATTTGGTTTTTTATTAGCTATCCGACTTTGTGAAATGGCAAGACATGTACAGTCTGCATTTTTCCATGCCCTGGCTGCTTTCCCCCTCTAACATCACACTTCCACTGCATTTTTAAAAATTATTTTTTTAATTTTTTTAAAAAAATACATTCATTAACAACATTACAGTGTAAACAAAACACAAAACAATGAACATTTTACAAACACATAAACCCACCACCAAGGCCTGACCAAGTATCATTTCCTTTGCCATTCATTTATGAGTCAACAGGTAAACAAATGTCATATCCAAAATTCCTGATGAACAAGATTGTATTGTTTTTTGATGAAATTGGACTTTGTTGTTCATTCGTTCCGTTGTCTCCGACTCTTCATGACCTCATGGACCAGCCCACGCCAGAGCTCCCTGTCAGCCATCACCACCCCCAGCTCCTTCAAGGTCAGTCCAGTCACTTCAAGGATGCCATCCATCCATCTTGCCCTTGGTTGGCCCCTCTTCCTTTTACGTTCCACTTTCCCCAGCATAATTGTCTTCTCTAAGCTTTGCTGTCTCCTTATGATGTGGCCAAAGGACTTCAACTTTGTCTCTAGTATCCTTCCCTCCAATGAGCAGTCGGGCTTTATTTCCTGGACGATGGACTGGTTGGATCTTCTTGCAGTCCAAGGCACTCTCAGAACTTTCCTCCAACACCACAGCTCAAATTGGACTAGTATGAATCAAATTCTGATCTTTTAATTTCTCCCCTGAATACCCTCACTTCCATTGATAATTTATCATTTAAGGTGACGTTCCATACCTCCCCATACCATGCTTCCAGCATGAGATTGGTTACTGCCTTCCAATTCCTTGCAACTAAAAGTCTTGCCACTGTGATTAAAATCATCACCAGTTCTTTTTTCTTTCTTTTTTTTTTCAAAGTTCAGCTTTGTGGCATCCATTCGTTATGCTAACCTATCATCCGGGGCAATGTTTAGTCCTATAATGTTACCTATTTCCCTAAATATATTGTTCAAAAAACTCTTCAGCTGGGGGCATTCCCACTACAAATCAAAATATGTCCTTTTATGCATGCCACATCTCCAGCAGAGCTTACTTTGCTTTCTATCCATCAGGTGTAATTTAACTGGTGTGGTATACCATCTCTATATGACTTTGTACACGTTTTCTTTTAATCTTATTGTCATATTCTTCACCATTCTCCACTTTAGAACCCTTTTCCATTCCAGATCTCTCAGAGGCCCTAGGTCTCCTTCCCATACCATTTCTAACAACTTTAACCCCATTTCCTCGCCTATTAATCCATGTTAATCCTTTCCCAGATATTTCTTGCTTTTTAAGTTTATTTATTTATTTATATCATTTTTGCCCCGCCCATATCAGACCAACGGCAACTCAGGGCGGTGAACAATCGGCACAATTCAATGCCATAAAATACATACATCAATAAAAATAAAACATCACATTACAATATATCTAAAAACATCTAAACAGTGAACAATTAAAATTTTAAAACGATGTCGTCATATTCATATTCATTCCTTATCCGTTATGTCGTCTTAGCCATTCCTAGGTCGTTTTTCTAATTAAGGTTTATCGTATTAAGCTGAGGCTCCAAAAGTTTGCTCGAAGAGCCAAGTTTCCGAAAGCTTAGGAGGGAGGGGGCCGATCTGATATCCCTGGGCTGGGAGTTCCACAGCCAAGGGGCCACCACAGAGAAGGCCCTGTCTCTTGTCCCCGCCAGACGTGCTTGTGAAGCAGGCGGGATCGAGAGCAGGGCCTCCTCCAACTATCTCAAATCCCTAGTGGGTTCATAGGGGGAGATGCGTTCAGATAGATAAGCTGGGCCGGAACTGTTTAGAGCTTTACTTAGCCATTCTTCATATTTATTCAACTCTCTACATATGGGATTTTTATGTAACCAATCCTTTTCCCATGTTTATAGCAGCTGCCTCTCAAACCAATTCAGGACACCTTGTTGCTCTAATTCAGTGTTTCTCAACCTTCCTAACACCGCGACCCTCATGTTTATTTAAATTATTATTTCTTTTATCTTGAATGCCAATTGCTTGCGCTCCTGCTAACTGAGAGTCTACTGTACTTGATATTTATTGGTGGTCATCCATCTCACCAGGGCTTACCCTTCTTACCTTTCAAGATGAGGTGTTTATGCAATGGCATAATCTTGAGGAGGAGCCTCCGGTGGCGCAATGAGTTAAACACTTGTTCTGGTAGGACTGCTGACCGAAAGGTCAGAGGTTCAAATCCGGGGAGTGGGGTAAGCTCCTGTTTATCAGCTCCAGGACATGAGAGAAGCCTCCCACAAGATGGTAAAACATCCGGGCGTCCCCTGGGCAGCGTTCTTGCCCACAGCCAATTCTTTCAAACCAGAACCAATTTGCAGTTTCTCTAGTTACTCCTGACATGAAAACAAAATTTTGAGGAAATAGCCATGAGCTGCCAACGAAGACATTTCTACTTTCTCTACAGAAATTGAACTCCATGTTGGTTCTTCCTGCATGTACCGCCAACCCTGGTGGTTCAAATAGGAGTCAAAAGCCCAACTATACTGATGTCCTCAATCACACTAAGTTCTTACCAGTGGAGCAGCTGCAGACCTTCTCCCAGCTTCTGGAAAACATTCATTGTTTAGAGGTAATTAGCAGGTATCCCAGTGACCAGAGGGAATGTGTTGGGATTAAATCAAAACTATTGCATATTTCAACTTCTTATGCTTCTAAAAGTTATTGATAGAGGTCAAGCAGGCCTAAATGAAAGTATATTAAAAGACCTATTCCATTTAATACAGTGTTATAAAGTATTAAGGCTTATTGTACTGTGATTTTAATATTTATACTAGGATGATTTTAATGCTTTGTCTGAATGTTTAAATTTTGTTGATGTCTTGTGTTTAATGGTTTTAATGATTTTAAGTCAAAGTTATATGTAGTGATTTGTTATTATGATTTCTTTGTGTTACTGCACAATAAATCTAATCTTAAATGTCTCGTGGTGTTAAAAGTACAGAGAAACAAGAGAGTGGTTGAGTTTTTGTGTGTTCCTTTCTAACCAGTTTCTTCCTCTGGTTATGTTTACAGTTCCCTTCACGGATAGGCTCAGTGATAGGAAATCCATTATTGTTGCACCACATCAATTGTGTGAAAGATGACTCTGTCTACCAGAGGATGTATTACTGGATGGGTCAAACATTCAGAGAAGGTAGGGAGACTGGCTTGGTATCTGGTCTGATGTTTCTTGCCATGTTAGCCATGGGTTGTAGGCTAGTACGGTTTATTGTGTGGTTTTTAACAATTTACAACTGGTTTACATGTTGAAGGCTTGTTCTATGTGCTACTTGTGGCTTTTGTGGAAAGGTGTTATATTAATATAGTAATTTTCATGGTGCAAACATGTTTTGAGTTGTATCACTTCAGTTCACATCCCACTTCAAATGTGGTGCATGATCCAAAATACCCTCTCAATGGACCTGAATTGTGTCAAGGCATACCGTATATACTCGAGTATAAGCCGACCCAAATATGATCCGAAGAACCTAATTTTACAACAAAAAACTGGGAAAGCGTGCTGACTCGAGTATAAGCCGAGGGTGGGAAATGCAGCAGCTACTGGTAAATTTCAAAATAAAAATAGATATCAATAAAATTACATTAATTGAGGCATCAGTCGTTCAAATGTTTTTGAATATTTACATAAAACTGTGATTTAAGGTAAGATTGTCCATCTCTGAGTAAAACATTATTCTAACCTTCTTCAATATGAATGTGCTTATGTATCCTTCCAATAATAATAAAGAGAGTAAAATAATAAATGTAATAATAACTAGAATAAAATAATATATGTAATAACAACAATAATAAAGTAAAATAATGAATGTAATAATAATAGAGTAAAATAATAAATGTAATAAAACTAATAATAGAGTAAAATAATGTAAATGTAGTAATACTAATAATGAATAGAGTACAATAATAAATGTAATAATAATAATAATAATAATAATAATAATAATAATAATATTAACAGAGTAAAATAATAAATAACCTTAACTCGAGTATATGCTGAGGGGGGATTCTTCAGCCTAAAAAAGGACTGAAAATTGGCTTATACTTGAATACATATGGTAATAATGACTGGTGTGGGGTTTTCCTTAATGTATGAATGTGGGAGAAGTGGGAAGGATGGAAGCATTACTTTTAGCTTTTTCTTTTATGATTCAGAATGTCCTTGGTATAAGATTGAGAACCAGCAATATGAATTGGAGTTCAGAGACTTTTTGGATACAGTCTTGGAAGCTGAATGTTTCCTGCAGGTTAGTTTGCATGCAGCTCTTCTAGCACTCTGAAGCACACAGTGGCCATTCTAGACTGGCTGAAGAAAAGAACTGGCTGACTGTCTCAATTGTCCCTTTCAGGAGGGCTTCTCATCCTGTGAGGAATTCTTATACAGGAGCCTGCCCTTCTGGGATGGCCATTGTTGTCGAGCACAGGTTCTGCAGTTGGTGAGTTGGATCCCTCTCAGCACTTTCTCAGGTATGCAACACAGCCAAAGAGCCTTGTCCCTTTAAATAAATAGTCAAAGTAGACATGATTGTTAAGAAGTCACTGTTCTTTTCTTTCTTTGTTGTAGAAATGAAGCCTTATCTCTTCAGGCCTTTGACACAACTTTTCATTACATCATCTCTTTATTTTAAGGTAATGGAGGGGAAGGAGCCAACTTAGGCACCATATATACTTGAGTATAAGCCAAGTTTTTCACCCCCTTTTTAGGCTGAAAAAGCTTCCCTCGGCTTATAGTTGAGTCAAATTTATTTATCATTTTACTCTGTTATAATTATTATTATATTTATTTTTTATTAGTAGTACATTTATTATTTTACTCTATTATTATAGTTATTACATTTCCATTTCTTTGCTCTATTTATTATTATTATTACGGTATTACATTTATTGTATTTATTATTTTGATCCTTTTATTATTGTTAGGATACGTAAGCACATTTACATTGAAGGAGGTTAGAATAATGGTTTCATCAGAGTTGGACAGTCTTATCTTAAATTACAGTTTTATGTAAATATTCAAAAACATTTATCCTACTGATAACTCAATTGATGTAATTTGTATCTATTTTTATTTTGAAATTGATCAGAGTGGGATTCAGATCCCACTCTCCGCTTATTCTCGAGTCAATATGATTTCCCAGTTTTTTGTGGAAAAATTAGGTGCCTTGGCTCATATTCGGGTCGGCTTATATTCATTTGATCCCTGTCACATTGAAAAACTGTTTTCTTGTGCTGACGTCAACAACCACTGACAACTGGGAAGTAAATCAAGTTTCATTCGTCTTGATACAAGACAAAACCTTGAATAACATTGGGATTACTATCCTTGCCAATGGAAGGAGGTGAATCACTTGTTGCAATTGTGGGTGCTTTTATGTTAAAAAGCAAACGGATTTTCTAGAAACTGGACATAGCTACTTAATGACCCTGTGGCTATTTGTAAACCTGATTTTGCTGCTGCCAAGCTTCAGAAATGTTTCCTTAATAGTGTACAAATGAGCGTGGTCGAAGTCTGAAATACAGTTGACCCATTGATGGTTTCTTTTTCTACAGTGTAGTGTTCTTGAAACTCTGAGGGAGCTGTTGCTAAACTGGCTGAACTGGCACATCGTGCAAGCAGACATGGCAACAGAGTTGAATGTTGACATCTTGTAAGTACGGCATTTAAAAGCTGCTCAGAACTCCTGTACTATATAGTGACCGTTAAGCAGTCAAGTGAACATGTAGCTTTGCGTGAAGACAACCACGCCCTATCTTGTAAGTGGTTGATACTGATAGTTCTGTCTCGTTTTTCTATAGGAACACAACACTTTCTGGGGTAGTCAGCTCTGTGGAAGAGACCATCCACTTTGTAGGCTGGCTTTCAACTATTGCTCTGCGTTTGGAGAACAATTCTGCGTTCTTGATGCATTTCATCCTGGACTTCTATGAGATAGTATGTAAGCTGTTCATCCTGCCAGTTTAGTCTGTGGTTTTGTTCTGTGATCTTCAACAACCTGTTGCTTTTCAAATGTGCTGGGCTCTAGATGTGAGTGGCCAGTGGCCATGTTGGCTGGAGATAGTGTAGCCTACAGTGCTTAGAACAACATTTCTCAGCCTGAGGGTCAGGACCCCTTGGGGGAGGAGTCATAAGGGGGTTTCAAAGGGATCGTCAAAGACTATCAGAAAACATATATTTCTGATGGCCTTCAGAACCCCATTGGCAGAGAAGACTGAAGATCTCTCTGCCTGTCCTTCTCTTCCTATTTGGAAACAGAGGGTGGCGAATCCTCCCACCAAAAGCCCTCCTCCTGCTGTGATTGGCCGGCCTCTCAGCCAAAGGGGGGGGGGGTTGTTTCTGAGATTCCAAGCAGGGAGGGGAGAACAGGCGTGCTTGGCATATGGCAGTGTGGTGCGCATATGCGCAGGCAAGGAAGAGTGTGTGAGGCTAGAGGGAGGCTTGTGCCAGTGAGTCCCTTCAAGGCATGGGGGTTCTATGTGGGAAGTTTGGTTCAATCCATCATTGGTGGGGTTCAGAATGCTCTTTGATTGTGGGTGTACTATAAATCCCAGCAACAACAACTCCCAAATGTCAAGGTCTGTTTTCCCCAAACTCCACCAGTGTTCACATTTGGGCATATTGAGTATCTGTGCCAAGTTTGGTCCAGATCCATCATTGTTTGAATCCATAATGCTCTCTGGATGTAGGTGAACTACAACTTTCAAACTCAAGGTCAATGCTCAACAAACCCAGTATTCACTGTTGCTCATGGGAGTTCTGTGTGCCAAGTTTGGTTCCATTCCATCATTGGTGGGGTTCAGTATAACTTTGATTGTAGGTGAACTATAAATCCCAGCAAATAAACTCCCAAATGACAAAATGAATTCCCCTCCCCCAACCCCACTAGTATTCAAATTTGGGCGTATTGGGCATTTGTGCCAAATTTGGTCCAGTGAATGAAAATACATCCTGCATATCAGATATTAACATTACAATTCATAACAGTAGCAAAATTACAGTTGTGAAGTAGTAACAAAAATAATATTATGGTTGGGGGTCACCACAGCATGAGGAACTGCATTAAGGGGTCAAGGCATTAGGAAGGTTGAGAAATACTGGAGGGTGATATTAGATTGCAGCTCTCTGCAGCCCTAGCCAGCTTAGCCAGAGGTGGGCAGTTCTGGGAGCTGCAATATCTGGGTGCTACATGATTCCCCCCCCCCCTTCTCTAATACTTCAGGGGAGTAGGGAGACACATAATATAGAAAATAGATTAATAAAATTATTTTCCTGTATAAATCCTATTTTTAGATTAATTTAAAATGCTACAATAAAGTAGAAATAAAACAACTAGAAATAAATCAGCATTAAGACAATAAGGAGGAAGTAATCCTTCAGATGCCCTGAAGGCAAAATGTCTAATCTCATGTAGAAAGGTATGATGGTTGTGAAGTGCAATGCAGCCTCTCCCTTTTTATTATACAAAAGGCAGAGTGTTGGGCATAATAATTCATCTGTCTCTCTTTCCTACTTAAAGGTGTGTGATGTGTATCAGAAGTACAATCTCCCATTGGTTGTGATGCCACCTGCTGGAGTCTTCTATCCAGCACTGCTCAGTATGGATTCTGTCACGGTCAACCGTCTCTGTCATATTATGTACAGGTATTGCTAAGGTCCTGAGTTTTTTTCTGCCCTGGGGGCACCTTTTCTACTTCCAAGTTCTCCTCAACATCTTAACAGAGTGGCTATAATCTATCCTATTGCTAACTACTAATGCAACATTCAGAATATCTGCACAGTGCAGCTTCCATACATCCAGGTATCTGCAATTTCACCTTAAACAAAGAGTTCCTGTTGTTGGTTTGCTGTAAGTTTTCCGGGCTGTCTGGCCATTTTCCAGAAGCATTCTCTTCTGACGTTTCGCCCACATCTATGGCAGGCACCCTCAGAGGTTGTGTGTGTTGGTTTTAGGAAAGCAACAGTTTCCTTGTCTGCAGGCAGGCACACTGATGAATGGAAAAGAGCATCCGTTTAACTGCTGTCCTCTCCCGCATCTGCTTGAGAGTTGTGAAAAGGGCCTCTTGAACTCCTCCTTGAATCACTTTGTATTCAGCAATGAGTTCAGTACGCTTGCTGTTGAATGATAAAAGAACTGTCACACATGACTCCTGTATTCTCCTCCTATTGTCTGCTTTGGAAATGGCTGCTATTCTAACAAGTCGTGGGAGGAATCCCCGTGAAGAGTAGCAGTACTAAAAAGAAGATGGGGAACATTTTATGTTCTCTCGGTGTCTTGTTGCTTTTGAAAGTAGAAAGGTCATTAACAATTCTTGGTTAGTTGTAGCCAAATTGCTAAGAGATGGAGCAAGAAGAGGAAGTTGTAATGCGTATTTTCAAATGTTCAAATAACTCCCCTGTTATCTATCAAAGCATGTTGCAGATTTATTTTATTTTATTTTTTTCATGTCAGGAGCGACTTGAGAAACTGCAAGTCGCTTCTGGCACAAGAGAATTGGCCGTCTGCAAGGATGTTGCCCAGGGAACGCCTGGATGTTTTATCATCCTGTGGGAGGCTTCTCTCATGTCCCTGCAAGGGAAGCTGGAGCTGACAGATGGGAGCTCACCCCGCTCCCCAGATTCAAACCGTTGACCTTTTGGTCATCAGTCCTGCCGGCACAAGTGACTTGCATTAGCCACCTAAAGATTTTAGACAAGAAGCAAGCTGTGGACATCTTGATTCATCGTGCTCTTGGGCACTATGTATTCCCCCATCTTATGTTACACACGTGCTGTTTAATAGATCTCTGAATATCTCTTAACCCCTTCTTTCCTCTGCTGTTATAGGTATCGAGCCAACTTGTTATCTGCAAAACAAAACCAACAAACTAAGCAGGTAAAACAATAAGACATTTTTGGACTATGTTTGGAGTCTGTTACCTCTGATATCCAACACAATCCCATTGACAGTCTTCAGCACTTGCTTCCATCTGTTTTATGTTGTCCTATTTTCCAAACTTTCTTGCCTTTCCCACTTTCAGCTGAGGAACAGTTTTCCTTAAAATCGCCTAATCTTTCTGACCCTTTCCATATCCCTAACATTCTACATCTGAAATTTCCAAACCAGGTTCATTTGTCATCTTTCTTTTTGAATCTGACATGTTCTCTGTTGCATATTAGCGTTAAATTTCCTCTGTGTTTTTCAGCTAAAAATGGCAGTGTGAGGAAGTGTTTACAATTGGGGAGGGTGGGGGGTTCTCCATTGCAAGGGCTGCATGCCACAGGATTCCCACCCATTTTAGAAATACTGGTTCATCATAACTCATTACACAAAAAATTTAATAACATTTCTACTCTTACTATTCTTTGAAAGTAATGATGCTGGTAATTGTATTCCAAAACTAATGTGTTTTAATACTGTTATTTCTGTTACCCACATAGTAAACTACTAATTTTTCTAATTAATAAATTCTCATGAAAGGGGGAAAATATTATAATGTATTACAATATAATACTAATAATAATAATAATAATATGTTAATATATTTATATAATAATATTACAGGTTAATGGTATAGTACAATATAGTAATATATAATACTTATATTGTGCTATGGTAATAATATTATATATTGTATTTACATATTTCTTGTAAGCCGCTCTGAGTCCCCTTCGGGGTGAGAAGGGCAGCGTATAAATGTTGTAAATAAATAAATAAAATCATAATATGACAGTAATAATAAGATGAATAAATTAATTATAAGATTATATATCTTTTAATAAAAAAGACTACTCAACTCTTCTCTATTACTATGTTACTGTTAAATACTACAAAGTAGGTTTGTGCATTTTAGCTGAACCTCAATCTGTTTCTGCGGACCGGATTTCAGTAGAACCCCGTATCTGTTTTCACGTGACTCCCGAAAACGGTCAGGTAGCCGGATAGGCATTTTTGTTCTGCAGCCAAAAAATATGGCTACATCTGGCCCATTGGTGGCAATGGGGAACTTACGAGGCTCCCCTTTCCGTTCCTGGGACCCTTTCCTTTCTTCCCTTCAAGGGAGCCTGGGTTTCAGCAATAGGATTAAGGAAGCAGACACAGTTTGCGTAAGACATGTCACAGTGTTATTCTATTCCAAGTGGCCCAACAGGCAGGGCTCACAAGGAAACCCTGTGCAAGGAGGAGCACACAGCAGCTTCTTTGCATGTTGCATGCTCCTGAAAAAGGGAGGAGGAGTTGTGCCATGTGGTCCTGTTATGGATGGGAAACCGTGACGTCTGGGCTCTTGCCGTTACGGCCATCCGGCCAAGCTGAAGAAGCCAGATTGGCCAAAGGAAAATGGCTAAAACAGATCCTTGCACGACTACTACAAAGAACAAAACAAAGGGCTAATATCATCTGATCGATCTGTGATATTTTGTAGATAACACTATGTAACAAAATTTGAGAAATCTAGTGTAATGATTGCATAGTGAGCCTGTTGGAGTGATGTTGCTTGTTAGCGAGAGATGAAGGTTGCCATTGCTCTCCCCTTTGTCCCATGCTTCAGTTCACCTTTAGCAACCGAACATGCCAAGAGTACAACCAATACATCACCGCGATGGTTGGGTGCCTGTGGACCTCAAATGCATTTGAGAAAGACCTCCACCCCCTGGGCCTTTTCATGGACTCCGAAGTGCTGGAGAAGACCAGGATGCAGGAGTGCAGGAAGGGCTTGAACTTAGCTTACCACCCTGCCTTGACAGGCTATGCAATGCTGTTCTTGGAGCAGGTACGGAAAATGTATTTTTCTAGTAAATATCCACCTAGAGTTTGTTTGGTACTGTGGTACTAACTGAAGGCTATTAAATCTGTGTGTGTGTGGATTAGATAGTTGTCGTTGTGTCTTTCTTGTTTCCTCCTATATTTTATAGACTTGTACAGCCTCCTTAGAATATGTGATTCAGGATGATATAGTTGTGTTCATAGATTTGAATTCAAGGCTTTATCTATCTATCAAGGCTCACAGAATCAGAATATTTCCTCGTTTTTTTTACTCCACAGTAGGTCTAAGTAGTCCTGGCCCTATTTGTTGGAACGGAAGCCTATCAAATCACTTCTTTCTTCACTCTGTTTGTATTTGGGACCATTGTAGAGATAGTATGCATGCTGCTGACGCACATCAGGATTACATGTATAGACTTCATAGCTTTAAGAGTTGAAGTCCAGGTGTTCATGTCGTAATTGTTTTGAAAAAAGAATATGCAGCAGATAAACATTTTTGGAACTCCACTGGTACATAGGCATATTCGGGGCCATAAAGTTGTGCCTAAAAGTAACCAATGGCAGCCTAATTCTCAATCAACAGCTATTGGTTCATCTGGTTCATTTAAACTGCTAACCTGAAGATTGGCTATTTGAATCCGCATGATGGGATGAGCTCCCATCCGTCACCCCCAGCTTCCCATAAGAGGATAACACATCTGAGCATCCCTGGACATAGTCTCTGCAGACAGCTAATTCTCTCACAGAATTGCAGTTATCTCAAGTCACATGAAAAAAACTGGGTGTACTGGTTGACATGCAGAGGTTCAGCATGGTTTTAGAGAGTGATTAGTATAATTTTTATGGTCTAGTTCAGTGGCCTGAAGCCCAGGGAATTTTAGTGGTGCATGTTGTATCTATTACGTTTGTCATATTTGGTTTATGTAACATGTTATTTGTTTATCTGTTTTATTTTTGGTTTTGTATCATGTAATCTCATTTGTTTTAACCATTGTTTGCCGCTTTGAGTCTCATCCATGGGAGAAAAATGGAATAATAATAATAATAATAATAATAATAGTTTTTCTGAAGATGCCGAGGATAAAACACAGGCTTTTAGCCCACAAACCATCTACTCCTCAGTGAGTGATAATCTTAATAATATTGCCTTTTTGTAGACAGACAAAAGTGGGATTTGCTCTTCAGATCACCAGAGGGCACTATCACACAGCAGAAGATACCTGCTGCCCAAGTAGTGTTAGCCTGGAATCTGAGCACCTTCCTCATAATAATCATAATAATAATAACAACAACAACACAATATGAGGATTGAAAGATCGAACTGCAAAGACTCTGTCACAAGCCAGTAAAGGGGGTCCCAGTGGTGATCGGCACACTGGGTGCAGTGCCTAAAGACCTTGGCCTGCACTTAAAAACAATTGGTGCTGACAAAATTACCACCTGTCAGGTGCAAAAGGCTATCCTACTTGGATCTGCACACATTATTTGCCAATACATCACATAGTTAGACACTTGGGAAGTGTCTGACATGTGATCCAATGCAACAGCCAGCATAGTGATTGTGTTTGCTGTGTACTAATCCTGTTGTGTATGAAATAATGATAATAATTTTATTTCTTACCCGCCTCTCCTCACGGCAAATAAAACAGCAATGATTCAAATGCCATACCATAGTTATTCTGGATTCAACTATTGTAGAGTTCATTATGCTTTCTACTCAGCCACTGCTGAATAATCAAATAGCGCCCTACTTACCATGTCAAAAATAAATTGGATTGTGGGATGATTTCTGCAACCTACAAGAAACCAGAGCTGCATTATTTTCATGGTAGCCTGTCATCTCCATAAGAATCAGAACTACAGCATAGTTGGAATCAACATGGAACCTAGAATCCAACAGCTTTGTAAGGCCTCAGACTTGCCTTTTAAAAAAGTGGCTGAACATAATAAGATAGCTACAAAAATAAATGTTGTGGGAAACTATAATTCCCCCTATCTTCCTTTACAGCAGAAGATCAATAATAATTTAATTTGGGGACAAGCAGCCTAGATTTCTTTTTCAGTTTCCACAGTTTGAGCTGAAAACAAGTTGGAACTTTTTTAAAAAAACCATAAAATTAATTTCTTCTTTGCAGTCTCATTTGTATTGATTTTTCCCATAGACTTTATGATTGAGCCCTGGGTTGATTTTATCACCCAGCTTTTGCACAGATTCTAAAACGCTTATTTTATAGTGCTGCCCACTAAGGTTTAGAATGTCAGTCAAACCATGCTGCCTTCAACTGACTAGTTTCTGAAGGTGATTCTGGAATTAGTGTGGTATTAGTGTGTTAATTGTGTTATAATATATTGTATATAGATATAATATCTATAATATTATAATGTAATGCAATATAATACTTCTAATGATACGAAATTATAATTATATATTTTATATTATATGTAATATTACTAATAATATTACAATATAATGGTATAGTACAATATAGTAATATATAATACTGATATTGTACTCTAATAATATAATATATTGTATGCGTGTGTGTGTGTATCTTGTAAGCCGCTCTGAGTCCCCTTCAAGGTAAGAAGGGCAGCATATAAATGTCATAAATAAATACATAAATTTGCTACCCTGCCCTAGTTGAAGATATTTTCCTTTTTTAATTTCTGGCATTTCATTTTATTTTTCCTTCAGGTTCAACCAAAAGACAAAGTTCTTAACTTCAAGCTAATTCAGGTAAAGTGCTGGACTTTGGATTGAGCTGATAGAACCGATAAATAAAGCAAATGCAAGAACGTTGGAAGTCCTAGCACTCACCATTGTAATGTTTCATTTGCAGGGGAGGAGATGGGATTGGTACCTGGAATATCTCTACTCCCAAGACTTACAAGGCCTGAAACTCTTCATTGAGAGCAGCATCAACCGTGTGTCTCAATCTTCTCAGAAAAAAGCAAGCAAGGTGGCCGGAACAACAGGCTGATTGATTTTTACTCTTCTTCCTATCGGAGCTAAAACATTGGAGGTTGCCGTGCTCCTGTTTTTGAGAGTCATTTCCACAGTACTAATGGATACCCCAAAGTTGCAGCACTGGTGGAGCTGGCTTGCAACATGCAGCTTTCCGTTATTTCGGGAACACATCTTCTGAGTAAAGAATGAATTCTTAAGAAAAAAGGGGTGCCCTCCAACATGGACCAGCGTTTTTTCATTCTTACGAAATGAGAAAAACTACTTCAGGCCTTGCTTGGAAATGTTGAGAAGATCGGAAATGACAATATTTGTGTTGACCATACTTTGGAGGGAAATTGCATTACTTCTTGTAGTGTGACTGGTGGCTTCCACAACAGTGGGAACATCTGGAATTTCATTTTCGATCAGTACCACAAAGACCTGCAGCAGTTAGAGTGGCTGGCAAAATGCAAGGTGTGTGTGTGTGTTACTTTGTACATAACTGTATAGTAGCTATTTATGCAACAAAACAGGATCTGTAATTTATATGCTTCTGCTTTTTATCTTATTCTAGAGATTCACAGTTAAAAGGCGTCTTTCCATCTCTCCTTGTACAAAGTATACCCACAGAACCCAATTTTTGTTTGTTTGGATTTTTTAAGTTTTTGCTCTAGAATGTTTGTTTTTGAAGGGATCCTCAAACCCGGTAATGGCATCGAAAGGAAACCTTCAGACATAATTAATCCTGTTCTCTGTTATCCCTACTAAACGTTTCCTTAGCAGTTGGTAGAGACGAATGAGTCTTTGACTGATGATGATAGTTGGCTGCCTTTGACTTTCCTTACTCTGCCTCTGTGATAAACCAAGATAAATGGTCAGGGAAATGGCAATATATTCTTCCAACCTTCGAAATATACCTATCATAACAGCAAGGTGCCAGTGATGGAGATGTATCATCTTAAAACCTGACCATTGTATGCATTGTAGGGGGCTGAAGATCCCCTTGCATACTGGAAAAAAGTAATTTTTGGTTTCATCACACTAGAGAAAAATCCACTTAAAATCCAGCTTCTGCCTCCTGCAGAATTCTGGGGTTTGTAGTTTAGTGAGACTGTTAAAGGCTCCTCCCTAAACTACAAACCCCAGAATTCTGCAAGAGGCAGAAACTGGATTTTAAATGTGTGTTTTTTTCTGATCTAATTCTACCCCTTTGTGCCTTTCCTATGTACTTGGGGCTCTTGCTGTTTCCTGTGATGAATTCTTTCAGCCAGATTTCTGCAATAGATTCCCCAAGATGGTTTGCAAAGGCATGAAAAAAAACATAACAAAATGAATTCAAAATACTAATATTGGTAGTTAAGTAACATTTTGTTTAAATAGGAAAAACAATTAGAAATTTTGATTCAAGAGGGTTAAATTAAATTTGAAACAGCTAGCAGCAGTCAAATGACTGTCAGAGTCTAGCCTTTGTCTCCTCAAAGCTTTATTTTGATCTCTGTCTGGTGACTTAACGTTTTCACTCATCTCCCTACAATTCCAAATTGCCCATTGCATGATTTAAAATAAAGAAATCACATTATTTTTGTAACGTTTTTCACATTTGCTTAATTTGCTTTGTTAATTTGGCTCATCAAGGCTGGGATTTGGCTCTTCTTTGCACAGAGACAGGGTTTTGGCAGGAAGCAGCAAAGCTGAACAACCTTGAAGGAAGAGCATCATGTTCTGGTCCATAACAATCCAGGCGCAACATGTAATCAAGCACATGCTTTCACCCACACATAATAGTTACTAATAAGCCAGCATCCATCACTAGAAAATATGCAGATGCTTTCTTGTGTTCCTCGCCTCCGAGTGTTTAATTTGGGGGGAGATGGGGCAAAAATCATCAGGAAAGCAATGCAGCTGTTCAGTTGTAAGCCATATTTTGTTGCTTTTTTATATCTAGAGAGACAACTGCACACACTGACCAGTTTGTCATTGCACAACAAGATACCGTATATACTTGAGTATAAGCAGACCCGAATATAAGCCGAGGCACCTAAGTTTACCACTGGGAAAACCTATTGACTTGAGTATAAGTCGAGGGTGCAAAATGCAGCAGCTACTGGTTAATTTCAAAATAAAAATAGATCCCAATAAAATTAGATTAATTGAGGCATCTGTGAGTTAAATGTTTTTGAATATTTATTTATTTCTTACTGTAAATTTGTTTTTATAGGCTATTGTTTTACATATGCATATTGCTTTGTCTTTTGTATAATGTTGTAAGCCGCTTTGGGTTCCGTTTAGGGAGAAAAGCAGGATATAAATAAAGATTTATTATTATTATATTTACGTAAAACTAATTTAAGATAAGACTGCCCCAACTCTGATTAAACAATTATTCTAACTTTCTTCAGTGAAAATGTGCTTACGTATCCTTCCAATAATAATAAAGAGAGTAAAATACTGGAAATGTAACAATAAAAGTAGTAGTGGAGTAAAATAATAGAGGTAATAACAATAATAAATAGAGTAAAATAATGAATGTAATAATAATAGGCAAAGGTAAAGGTTTTCCCCTATCGCTAAGTAAGTACGTAATATCAAGGATCCATAATTGTTTTTTTTCCCCTATGATCATGAGGAATAATAATAAGTTAAAAGTAAAGGTAAAGGTTTTCCCCTGACATTAAGTCCAGTTGTGTCCAACTCTGGGGGTTGGAGCTCATCCATTTCTAAGCTGAAGAGCTGATGTTGTCCGTGGACACCTCCAAGGTCATGTGGTCAGCATAACTGCATGGCGCAATGTTCCCTTCCCACCAGAGCAGTACCTATTGATCTACTCACACTGGCATGTTTTCAAACTGCTAGGTTGGCAGAAGCTGGGGCTAAGAGCAGAAGCTCATGACACTCCCCGGATTCAAACCTATGAACTTCTGGTAAGCAAGTTCAGCAGTTCAGTGGTTTAACCCACTGTGCTACCTAAATAGATGCAATAAATGCAATAAAATAATAATAGCAGAGTAAAATTATAAATGTAATAATAATAATAGGTGAAGGTAAAAATTTTCCCCTGACACTAAGTCCAGTCGTGTCTGACTCTGGGGGTTGGTGCTCATCTCCATTTCTAAGCCGAAGAGCTGGCGTTGTCCGTAGACACCTCCAAGGTCACGTGGCCAGCATAATTGCATGGAGGGACCTATTGATCTATTCACATTTGCATATTTTCGAACTGCTAGGTTGGCAGAAGCTGGGGCTAACAGCAGGAGCTCACCCCGATTCGAACCTGCGGTAAGCAAATTCAACAGCTCAGCAGTTTAACCCACTGCGCCACCTAAATAGAGTAAAATAATAAATGCAATAAAATAATAACAGAGTAAAATTATAAATGTAATAATAATAATAGGTAAAGGTAAAAGTTTTCCCCTCACACTAATTTATTTATTTATTTATTTGGGGTGCTTCTACCCCACCCTTCTCAACCCCCTAGGGGGGACTCAGGGCGGCTTACAAAAGGCACAATTCAATGCCCAACAATTCACAAAATACAATACACAAATTGACCATATAATGTCAACAGTTATAACTAGTTAAAACAATCAAAAACAGTACAATAGCAGCAATAAAATCATCTTGTGGTCAATGTTCAGTCATGTCCGACTAAATAGAGTAAACTAATAAATGTAATAAAAATAATAACAGAGTAAAATAATAAATGTAATAATAATAATAAGTAAAGGTAAAAGTTTTCCCCTGACACTAAGTCCCGACGTGTCCGACTCGGGGTTAGTGCTCATCTACATTTCTAAGCCGAAGAGATGGCGTTGTCCATAGACACCTCCAAGGTCATGTGGAGGGGCATGATTGCATGGAGCGACGTTACCTTCCCACCAGAACGGTACCTATTGATCTACTCACATTGGCATGTTTTTGAACTGCTAGGTTGGCAGAAGCTGGGGCTAACAGCGGGAGCTCATAACGCTCCCCAGATTCAAACCTACGAACTTTCGGTAAGCAAGTTCAGCAGCCCAGTGCGCAACCTAAACAGAATAAAATAATAAATGAAATAAAAATAATAACAACAGAGTAAAATAATAAATAGCATTGATTCAAGTATAAGCCGAGGGGGGCCTTTTCAGCCTGAAATAAGGGATTTAAAACCCGGCTTATACTTGAGTATATACGGTAGTTAATCTGCAGAGGTGGAGATCATGGTCGTGAACTAAAGATGCAATAAGCCTGGCAACATGGAAGTCTTTTCTGCTTTTTCCTTGGGCTTTGTGGGGAATGTGCATCCCGGCACCGTCTGGAGCCCAGAGCGGCAGTCTAGAGCGCAGCCCTTTCATCTCCTCTAACATTCAGCACGCAGCCAGAAAGTGGTTTAACTCTGCCTTGAAGGCTTCTGCAAACTGCTTCCAACGCTACGTTAAGCATGCCATCTGTTAATTAGTCTCATCTCCCCCCCCCCCCTTTTGTGAGAATGGAAAAGGCACCTTTTCTCATCCTTTTTATCTTTCCAAAGTCTTGCATCTACCTCTTTCATTGACCTTTCCAGTCAAGGCAGCCTTGTCGTTTAAAGGCAGAAGCGTTTCTTTTTTTTATTATTTAATTCCCCCCCCCCCCTCCTGGTTGGAATGGCAAAATTGCTTGCTGTGTATTCTCGCTTGCTTCTCATGTTGGCCTACTTCCTCAGGCTTGTGTTTTGCATCCTTAATGCCATGAATAAATCAGGAGCTGCAGATTTAGAAGAGGGTGCAGCTGGAGCCACTTGGAAAACCGAACCGCGGAGGCAAAGCCCGCTGGAGGGTGAGACCCTTCCCAATGTTTCTTCTTCACTGGAAGGGAAGCTTTGACCTTGTTAATTGAAATAGTTCCCCACTCTATACTAACAATGAGTTCTGGCTTTTAACATTTTGCTTCCCATCCTTATTAGGTTTATCTTCAAGTCTTGGCTGTCTGCTTTAGAGGCACGCTTTGTGCATGTACACAACCTTTATTATTCTGTTTGGCATTCAAGTTCATTCTGAAGGGGTTGGTAAATGTGAATAAACAAGCATTACCATAGTATTTAAAACCAAGATATAACCTGCAGTATAATAAAATGTCACTCAGGCTTGTGTAACAAATAACGGGACTGTGGCGCAGCTGGCTGGGAATCAGCTGCATTAAGATCACTACTGACCCAACTGTCATGAGTTCGAAGCCAGCCCAGGTCGGAGGGAGCTTCTGAGCGGTTTGTGTAGCTTGCTGTTGACCTTTATTTTTATTTTATTTCTGGTATATTCCGTCTCTTCTCTGCCCCCGAAGGGGGATTACGGGCGACTTACAGTGGCAGCCATTCGATGCCGTTACAATTCATACAAACAATCATTAAAATACATAAATACAAAAGCCATTAATCAAACAATATAAAAACAGTTGCATCTGTCAATTAGAAAATTTAGGTACCGCGTATGCGGGGAGGCTAATTTAACTAATTTACGATGACATAAAAATCTGCAGCAAGCATGCAAAGAATGAGGAAGTACTTCAACAGTATCACAAATGGACGGTGACGCGACAGCTCCCCTGACAGCCAGAATACCCTCATCAAAAATCTGGAATGTTAAGTAGCCTCTGTGTGTCTGTCTATATATGTTGTGTGTCTATAGCATTGAAAGTTTGCCATGTATATGTACATTGTAATCCGCCCTGAGTTCCCTGCGGGGTGAGAAGGGCGGAATATAAATACTGTAAATAAATAAATAAATATGTTTACTTCAGTTCAAAAGTTCAAACAGGGCAACAATATATATAGCAGTCTCTTTTGAATTTTACACAGAACGGAGGGAATAAAATATTTATTTATTTTATTCATTTATTTACTGTATTTGTATACCACCCTTCTCAGCCTTTTGGACGACTCAGGTTGGTTTACAAAGGCAACAATTCGATGCCCAAGAACATCATAAAACATTTAAAACATTAAACATGATATAAAACCATAACAAGAGTAATAAAAACATAATCAGAGTACTAATAACATAAACATAATAGTTCTTTGATCATTTTAAGGCATGAGGCATATTTAATCTTCAAGATAGTTGGCAGCCAGTACTCCCTTCACTATCCAAAGTGAAAGTGGCAGTTAGAACTGTTAGTCTCAGCAGCAAGCCAGAGACAGCAGCCAATCAGAACTCTGGCTCCTGGCATGCCCAGCCAATCAGCTGCCAACCCATGTCTTTCCAGTTAAACCCACTACATCATGGCATCCCTTTTCAAATCCTCACACATTCCAGGATAAAACTAAGGTCCCTTAAACAGGTGTGGTGATCAACCTGCGACTAAATGATAGGTGGAGTCATTTATTTCGTCCATTTATAGCTTCCTGTACAAGCTGGGTTTAGAAAAGACAGAGGAACGGGAGACCAAATTGCCAATATCCGGATGCTGGATAATGGAAAGGAGCAGGGAGTTTCAGAAAAACATCTATTTCTGTTTCATTGACTATTCCAAAGCCTTTGACTGTGTGGATCATACTAAACTGTGGCAAGTTCTTGGTGGGATGGGCATACCAAATCACCTTATCTCTCTCCTGAGGAATCTGTACAAGGACCAAGTAGCAACAGTCAGAACTGACCCTGGAACAACAGACTGGTTCAGGATTGGGAAAGGCGTACGGCAAGGCTGCATACTCTCACCCAACCTTTTTAACGTGTATGCAGAACACATCATGCAAGGATGTGCGGGGCTTGATGAATGCAAGGCTGGCGTGAAAATTGCTGGAAGAAACATTAACAACCTCAGATATGCAGATGACACCACTCTGATGGCCGAAAGCGAGGAGGAGCTGAGGTGCCTTCTAATCAAGGTGAAAGAAGAAAGCGCAAAAGCCGGGTTGCAGTTAAACATTAAAAAAACCAAGATTATGGCAACAAGAATGATTGACAACTGGGAAATAGACGGAGAAAAGGTGGAGGTGTAGGGGCAAAGAAACCAAAATATTTCCCAAAAAGGCAGAAGCACCCTTTCTAATAGGGAGGGCAAGGATGGACACCACAAAAGTTGAATCTTTTAAACTGCAAAAAACTATTTATTGCGTGGCCATAGCAATAACGACAAACAAGCATACAGGGACAGTGACACACTTTGTCTTGATATGTTATATACTGATCATTTTGATTGTTTTAACTG